GTGTTATGGTTTCCAACATACGGATGTGAATATGGAGGGCCAAACCCAGTGAGGTGACTCGCCTGAGGCCTCGTAACCAACAAGCACACGGGTGACTGAATTGCCAGTTGCAGCTGAGCTGCCAGCCTCCTGAGCCCAAGGCACACCTGCTGTGCCTCTGGGGCCACACGTAGCAGAACCCACAGAGATGCCTATGAGGCTTCCCCATGAAGGCAGCCCGCACAGCAACGGGGGCTGGCTGCACTTCTGCTATTTCTTTATACGCCTCCGTGCCATTGGCATCTTTCAAAACAGCCATGTGCTCATTTTGGAATTGAAACAGTAAACGCCACGAAATCACGACCAACACGAAAACTCTGCCAAGAGACACAATCAACTTTCTGAACAGTTCTCACCCACACAGGCTATCCTGCCCTGTCCCCTCCCATCCTTGTCTCCAGACGGGCAGGCGTGGAAAAGCCAAGGCTCTGTGTGCGTGGACGTCTGGGAGACTCTGGGTCAGGGCAGACGAAGCAGGCTGTGCTCTGGAGGGCGGGGAGGACCTCACAGAGTTTTGCTGAGCTAGTGCGGTGCCCACAGGGGTTGGAGTGTGTACCCAGCCCCAGAGCCCTCCTTTCCCTGGAGTCTTAGAATGCAGCACAGGGAGCCCAGCATGATGATTCAGTGACCAATTCTCTCCTTTCAAGCGCCAGCATCTCATATGGGTACCAGTCCATATCCTGGCTGCTCCACTTCCCAATCAGTTCCCTGCCTGTGGCCATAAAAAGCAGCAGAGAATCTCCCAAGCCCTTGGGACCCTGCACCTATGTGGGTGACCTACGTGGGAGACCTGGACGAAGCTCCTGGCTTTGGATCACCTCAACTCTGGCCATCGCAGCCACTTGGGGAGTGAATTAGTGCACTGAAGATCTTTCTCCCCATCTTTCCTTCTCCCTGTAAATATGATCTGACTTTCAATAAATAAATATATTTTTTAAAGATTTATTTATTGGAAAGTCAGATATACAGAGAGGAGGAGAGACAGAGAGGAAGATCTTCCGTCCAATGATTCACTCCCCAAGTGACCTCAACGGCCAATGCTATGCCGATCCAAAGCCAGGAGCCAGGAACTTCTTCCAGGTCTCCCACACGGGTGCAGGGTCCCAAGGCTTTGGGCCGTCCTCAACTGCTTTCCCAGGCCACAAGCAGGGAGCCGGATGGAAAGTGGAGCTGGCGGGATTAGAACTGGCGCCCATATAGGATCCCGGTGCATTCAAGGCGAGGACTTTAGCCGCTAGGCCACACCACTGGGCCCAAATATTTATTTTTTTAAAGCTTTATTTATTTTATTGGAAAGGCAGATCAACAGAGATAAGGAGACACAGAGAGAAAGATCCTCCCTCTGCTGGTTCATGCCCCAAGTGCCCCAACGGCTAGAGCTGAGCCTATCCAAAGGCATAAGCCAGGAGCTTCCTTTAGGCCTCCTATGTGGGTGCAGGGCCCCAGGGCTTTGGGCCACCTTCCACTGCCCTCCCAGGCTACAAGTAGAGAGCTGGATGGGTAGTGGAATAGCCAGGAGATGAACCAGCACCTACATGGGGTCCCTATGCATACAAGGTTAGAATTGAGCTGCAAGGCCATCATGCTGGGCCCAATAAATCTTTTTGAAAAAGTAAAAATAGGAGCATGTTGCGATAGTCTAATGGCTAAATCCTGTGCATCTGTCAGAATCCCATATGGGTGTCAGTTTGCATCCTGGCTGCTCCACTTCCCTTCCAACTCCCTGCTTGTGGCCTGAAAAAGCAACCAAGGGCATCTCAAAATCTTGGGATCCTGCACCCACATGGGAGACCTGGAGGAGAAAGCTCCTGGCTTCTGAACGGTTTAACTCCGACAGTTGTAGCCACTTAAATCAGTGGACAGAAGATCTTTTTCTCTGTATCTCCTTCTCTCTGTAATCTGCTTTTCCAATAATAAAAAATATATATATTTCAAAATAAGTAAGTAGGGCCCGGCGGCTTGGCCTAGCGGCTAAAGTCCTTGCCTTGAACGCTCCGGGATCCCATATGGGCGCCGGTTCTAATCCCAGCAGCTCCACTTTCCAACCAACTCCCTGCTTGTGACCTGGGAAAGCAGTTGAGGATGGCCCAAAGCCTTGGGACCCTGCACCCGTGTGGGAGACCTGGAAGAAGTTCCTGGCTTTGGATCGGCATAGCATTGGCCGTTTTGCTCACTTGGGGAGTGAATCATTGGACGGAAGATCTTCCTCTCTGTCTCTCCTCCTCTCTCTGTCTCTCCTCCTCTCTGTATATCTGACTTTCCAATAAATAAATAAATCTTTTTTAAAAAAAAACAAAATAAGTAAATAAAATCAATGTAGCTGTAGGACCTGGCGTGATGTCTCAATTGGCTAATCCTCCCCCTTTAATAAAGCATCGGGATTCTAAATGGGTTCATGTCCCCGCTATTCCACTGTTCAGGACCTGGAAGAAGCTCCTGGCTTCTGGCTTCAGATCATCTCAGCTCCAGCCACTGCAACCATGTGGGGAGTAAACCTCTCTGCAAATCCCTTCCCAATAAAAAAAATTAATTTTTTTAACTAAAAAAAAGAAGAAGCAATGCAGCTCAGCTGCTTTATCATCAGTCCCGAACTTGCTGGTTAGGGGCCATGTCCTGGACTGGTGACTTGGTCCTGGCCCTCACCCCCAAGGTGTGCAAAGTTGTTTTTGCTGCAGTGAGCTTGACCTTGAAAATGCCTACTGGAGGCTGGGCCTGCAGGTATAGAAGCCTGCTTTTGCTGTCTGTGATATTCAGGCTCCTATTTCTAATGCATCTGTCCAGGTCTGTTCTGTGGTGATGATCAGGTTGGGGCTCTGGAGGAGGGTGTGTGTGTGTGTGTGTGTTGTGTGTGCGTGTGTTACTGTGTGAGGGACCCTCTTCTAAGCTAGACCCCCTGGCCCCACTCAGAACCCAGCCTGCCTGTGTTCTCACACTCTGTACAGGAAACAAGCCAAGCCACACCATGGGTGTGGGGGAACAGGCGGTTCGCAGCCCTGCCAAGGTCTCCCACAGGTGTGAGTCAGGTTGGGGACAGCCCTGCTTTGGTGCTCCACTTTCAGGGGGAAGGGATGCCTAGCCTTCCTGTGGCACCTGCCGTGTGTTGGCTCTCGGCTACCTGCCAGGGCTGTGCAGGGAGGAGACTGTTACGGAGAAGCAAGTGGAGATTCAGAGAGGTGAACTTGCTCAAGGAGATGGCAGATCCAGAGTTGGGCTTAGGATCACCTGACGCTAAGTGGTGCGTGCTTTGCCCTGCACCACACTCACAGACTCTCTGGCTTGCTCTGGGGTCCTTACCCTTGTGAAAAAGAACCCAGGTTTGTGACCTTGGCTTCCCTTCCGAGGTACTCTCCCAAACAGGCCTTTGCCTGCCTCGAAACTGCCCGGCTCTCCTGGAAGCTTTTTGGGTCTGCACAAGAGAAGCCTGCCCTCTGCTCCCGTGCCTTTGCCCCTTAACGCAGTCGGCTTGTACCCACTTGGCTCTTTCTTCCTCCCAGAAGAGCTGTTGACCTGGAACCTCTTCACCCACCACCCCACCACCTCTGCCCTGACCTGCCGGAGCCATCTGTCAGCACAGAGCTGGAGGGAGGGCAGACGAAGCAGGCTGTGCTCTGGAGGGCGGGGAGGACCTCACAGAGCTTTGCTGAGCTAGTGCGTTGCCCACAGGGGTTGGAATGTGTACCCAGCCCCAGAGCCCTCCTTTCCCTGGAGTCTTAGAAATGCAGCACAGGGAGCCCAGCACGATGATTCAGTGACCAATTCTCTCCTCTCAAGCGCCAGCATCTCATATGGGTACCAGTTCATGTCCTGGCTGCTCCACTTCCCAATCAGTTCCCTGCCTGTGGCCCGCCTGGAAACTGCCAGGCTCTCCCAGGATGGATGGGGCCCCCAGAAGCCCAGAGTGACTGACGGTATGCACCCCAGTCCCAGGCCACAGGCTGGGGAGTCGGAACACGGGGAAAGCCTGGGACATGCTGACTGGGTGGAAAATGTGTGTCAAGAAAATCTCCAGTAAGGCAAGGGGATCTAGGGAGGCTAGCTGAGCTGGGGACCTTGGCCCCCCAAGACCTGAAGGCTCGGATAGAAAGTGAGGAGGTGGCAGGGAGCTGCAGGGGCTCTTCGGGTCTCCTCCTCCCTGGGGTTTGGGGACTCAGCGGCACCACTGCTCCCGCCACCACAGCGAGGGCTGAAGCAGGGAGAGGCCTTCCTGCTGCGACACTGGGCACAAGCCAAGCTGCTGGCCCCGCTCAAGGCCAACTGCACTGTCTTCGGAATCAAAACAGCCCCTCCTCTTCCCTCTCCCAGCCTTCTCTTTGGCCTGGAGCTTTCCAGAGTCAGATGGAATGCGTCCCTCCCGGAGGCTCCAGTCCGGATGACAACCTCCCCTCCCTCACCACATACCCCCCCAGCAGGGTCCCCACTCCGGCCATCCTTGCTGGCCACCAAGGCCCACACCTCTTCTCCACATCCTAGATGCCTCTCTCTCTCTTCCAAGACAGTCTCACCACTGAGGTCTGTCCCAAGAACTGAAAGATGTCCCAGAATCTCCTGCTCCATCGCGGGGGAATGCAGGGGACCCGCCCAGACCTTGCCGCTGGTCAGTTGAGGGCCTGGAGGCAACTGTACTGCTCTCTCTCTGGGTGTCAGGAGCTTCATCCTCACACGACTGAGAAAGGGTAGGCCCGGAGTAGGGGACAGAGGGGTTCCTGGAGATCTTGCCTGTCCCTGAACTTCCCCCAGCTTTGCAGAGGTCAGTCCAGCTGCACTGCCTGTCCCATCTGCCACCCTCCGACCCACGCAATCTCCCGCAGGCTTTTTGATCATCCCCAGGAGACCTGGCCTCCCACCCTCAGTGGTAGCCACTCATCCACCACCATGATTCCGACCTTTAGTTATAGCCACCCTCTCACTGCCACGCCTCCCACGCTTGCCACCGCTGGACCCCTGCCCACTGGGCTCCTTACCTGCCCAACCTGGGAGCCCTCCAGCCCCGCTCACATGGTCCTCCTGCCCTGGCTAGGGCCCAGCCTGGCTGCCCAGCCTCGGCAGCAGCTCCCCTCGCTGGCGTAGCCACCGCCAGTCTCCTGCGCCCACGTTCCACCCTGACTTCCTGCTTCCTCAGGCCTTCACAGCCAACCGGGCCCCAGCAGCGCAACCACAAGCCTCCAACACCCCAAGCTTCCTGTCACCACAGCCCCCCGTGGGGTCTCAAGACCAGACCCTGCTCACTCTGCAGTGGCACTTGGAGGTGTCAAGTCGAGGAGACAGAGCTAGCGTGGTGGCACAGTGAATTAAGCTGCTGACTGTGGCACTGGCATTCCACAAGAGGGCTGGTCAGAGCCCAAGATGGGATGGCCTGAGGCCCTGGGTCCTGCCAGGAACATGACAGAGCAGGCTGGAGTTCTTGGTTCCTTGTTCCTGGCTTCAGCCTGACCCAGCCATTTGCAGAGTGTACCAGCAGATGGATGATCTTTCCCTCCCTCGCTCTTTTCCTGTCTCTCTCTGAGTGTGTGAAACTCTGCCTCTCAAATAAATAAATAAGTCTTTTTAAAAATGTACTGCACAGGGACCATCATGATAGCTCAACTGGTTATCCTCCACCTATAAGCACTGACATGCCATACAGGTGCCATATTTTTATGGCCTAGGAAAGCAGCAAAGGATGGCCCAAAACCTTAGGAACCTGTACCCACAAAGCAGGTCTGGAAGAAGCTCCTGCTCCTGGCTTTGGATCGGTTCAGCTCTGGCAGCTGGGTTCATTTCTGGAGACAACCAGCAGGAGGAAGATCTCTGTCTCTCATTTACTGTCAAATCTGCTTTTCCAGTAAAAATAAGTAAGTCTTAAAAAAAAAAAGGCAAGGCCGGCATGTTGGCTCAGTTGGCTAATCCTCTACCTCCAAGTGGATATGAGTGCTACTCCACTTCCCATCCAGTTCCCTGCTTGTGGCCTGGGAAAGCAGTCAAGGTCAGCCCAAAGCCTTGGGACCCTGCACCCGTGTGAGAGACCCAAAAGAAGCTCCTGGTTTTGTTTGGACTGGCCCAGCTCCTGCCGTTGCAGCCACTTGGGGAGTGAATGGATGATCTTTCTATCTCTCCTTTTCTCTGTAAATCTGCCTTTCCGATGAAAACAAATACATCTTTAACAACAACAACAAAAAAAAAAACTACAAGTAGAACGTTTAATAAAAGCTAAAGCTGGCCAGCGGCAGGGCATTGGCAGGCCCCTTCTGCTCTCCAGAAACACTGAGACCAGAGATGGAGGGCAACCTTGGGCTCCAGGAGCAGGGAGGCAGGTGGTTGTTGGTGGAAGACCAGTGGCCCCATCGTGCCGGGCCGGGCCAAAAGCTGAGCGCCCATTTGGTTTCAATCTGACAGCAGAAGTGGCCTCATCACTCAGCAGAGACAATGTCCCCGCTAGAGTGAGGCAGCAGGCCACCTGTGTCACAGACCCCCACAGCTGCTGCTGGCCGCCTGCAGCACCATACCTACCCAGGCACGATTGCTGTATTACACAGAGGAGGCTGCCAGCCAGAACACTGACCACAGGCTGTTCCAGGGCATAGGCTGAAAAGCCTTTGCCACCGAAAGGGCAGAGTGACAGTCCCTGCCATCGGCGACATCTGGGAAGCGTAGGAAGCCTGGCACCATTGTCTGCAGCAGTTAGTTAGCATGTCAACCCAGGCACCCGTGTGCAGCAACAGACCAGCCCAACTGCATGCTGCAGGTACCAGGTGAGAACCTTGTCAGGAGCGGCAGAGGCCAACCATCTTCATTTCCTGGGGGCAGGGTGAGGGTGGCACCGGTGTGGGCGTATGAGCTGCAGATTGCAGGCAACCTCCAGCAGGCCCCAGAGCTGGCCCCTGAAGCCAGGGTGCTGGTGCTACAACACCAGCCGCCCATCTGAGTGTGGTTCAAGTCCTGGCTGCTCCACTTCTGATCCAGCTCCGTGCTAATGCACCTGGGAAAGCAGCAGAGGATGGGCCAAGTCTTTGGACCCTTGCCACTCCCACGGGAGACCTGGGCTCCCAGCTTCCACCCCACCCCGCCCTGGCTGTTGAGACCTTTTGGGGAGTGATAGAGCCAAGACCTCTCTCTCCAACTGCATCATTCTGCCTTTCAAATAAACAATACCTCTCTCGAAAGAAATCAGGCATTTTGATGCCTCCGGCTTTATTAAAAACAAAACAAACAAACGAAAAACAAAACAAAAAAATGAACTGTGTCTTGTCCTCCCTTCAGAACCTTCCCCAGCCGCGGGGACGGGGGGAGGGGCGCCTCGGAACACTGTTGGGGTTTGTGAGGTGGAAGCCGGTGCTGTGTGCACCTCAGCTGCCGAGGGAAGTGGGGGGACAGGAAATGGGTGGGGGCAGGAGGAAGCCTGCGTTGGAAAGTCAGATAGAGTGAAACAAAGGCCGAGAGACACAGGGTGAAAACCTGCCCGCTGAGCGTGGGGGCTCGGGGCCAGGTGCAGCGCGCAGGCCCCCACCGTGCAGAGAGCAGAGCCGCCCGCAGCTGGAGCCGAGCTGGGCTCGCACGTGCGCTGCTGGCCAGGGTCACGGGCACCGACTGTGTCTGTGCTTGCACATCCAGCTTCCTGCGGAGTGAGAACGTCTCTGCCTTGGACTCAGGGACACAGGGGGCCTCCTCAAGGGCTCATGAAACACACAGCGAGCTGCCTTTGAACCCTGGGCTGCAAGAAGCTGCAGTCTAAGCCGCTCCCTAAATCACTCACAGGGGTCTGACGTAGGATCCTAAGTTCTTTCCTGCTTCTGATCTCTGTGCTGCAGAGACAGAGATGGAGCTGTGGACGAGATGGGGATGCCCGGGTTCCTCTCCAAGCCCAAAGCCTGCCGTCCTCCCCCTCCCCTGGGGGGCACCCCAGGTTCTCGTCACAGACCACGAACAGGCCTCAGGCGTGACAAACTGCAGCACAGACCTTATGGGGCAGGGAGAGCGTTTATTAAGGAGCGCCGGGAACTTCTGGCCTCCACCTTCCCCTTTCCAGGAAGGCTGGGGAGGGGCCCCAGAGACGCTGTTCAGCAAAGAGTGAAGCGCCGGGCGCTGATGTTCATGCGCGTGAGGCCCAGGTGCCGCAGGGGTGGAGCCAGGGCCGAGCCCGCCCCCGGCTCCAGCTCCAGCTCCCGCTCGGCGTCGTCCAGCAGTTCCTGGTGTAGGTGACAGGCTTGGTCCATCTTCAGCCGGTGCAGCTGGGTCCGCAGGCGCAGCAGCTGCCCCGCCAGCTGCCGGTCTTGAGCTTGCATCTCCTGCTGTGGCCGAGAGGGGGCGTGAGCCCGCCGGACCAGCCCATTGTTGCTTTCCGGTCAACACTCCGGACCTGGCCCTGAAGATGTCCTCCCAGCCCCCTCTCACAACCGCTGGATCTCTCCCTGTTTCTCAGCTCTTACTCCCCACTAGGAATCCAGATGCCTGGGGCCCCCTTCCCAGACCAACCAACCCTCAGAGCCTGGCCGTCCTTTTCTTTGCTCGGGTATGATTGAGAAGGCAATCACACTCTGCCAGCAGATGCTGTCCAGCACCCTATGTGCCCCTTTGGTACTTCACCAAATATCTGAGGTACAACAACTCCTGCTCATAGCTTACAGCCAACAGGGGGAGGGCGCCATCCCCTGAATCCAGTAACACCATCAGTAGACGGATGGGATCCTGCGGATCCTGCTTCAGCTAGGCTCTGGTCCAATGCATTCCTAGATCTCAGCTCCAGGATGTAGGACCAGGCACCTGCTGGGGCTCAGATCCCTTCTTTTACCCCTCCCTACACCCATAGTTTTGGCTTTAATCAAGACTGGCCCAAAGATCCTTTACTAAGGCTGTCCACCTCACCAGACTTACCAGCTGCCCTCGGAGCCACTCAAGGGCAGAATCCATCGAGTCAAAACCACAGACGGCCCCTGAGGCCCCGGACCCAGATCTAGCTTGGGCCCTGTGCCAGGCCTGGCTCTGGACCCGGGCTGTCCACTCCAGGTATGAAGGCCGCCGAGTGTGCAGCTGCAGCTTGGCTGTCAGAGCCTTCACTGAATCCAGACTTTCTTCTTCCTCGTCGTCATCCTCGCCCACTGCCTGGAATTTCAGGGGTCCCAGCGACATGGTGGGTTTGAGGGAGAGGGATCGACTGGGTGAGCCTGGCAAAGTGGCCCAGGGAGAGGTAGATGGGGGTGGAAGCTAAGGGTGAGAAGAGGGTGCACAGTGCGGCAGGGTGTGCGATAATGGTGCAGGGTGCAGGGATGTATGAGCACTGAGTGTGTGAGGCCAAGTGTGCAAGGGCTGGGATTTTCCTGAGCTGCTAGCTGGAGAGCCACGTGATGCCCATCCTGTGGGGGTGGGGCGGGGGGCTCCTTGGATGATTTTTATTGTCTTTGCCCAGAAGGAGACACCCAGTTCCCAGAAAGGAAGTTGCTCCAGGATAAGAAAAGCATCATTCACACCAGTATCTTGGCTCTCTTCCCAAGGTCCAGGTTAAGGGGTTCCAGAGAGGGGAGGAGGTCGACCAGCTGTCCTCACCCTTATGTACAACACAACAAAGTATCTTCTGTGTGACCTTGAGCAAGTCACAGGCCCTCACTCAGCCTTGGCTAGGACAGAGCCCCGACCCCCAGCTTGGCCCTAGAGATGCTCTACTGCCCCCTGGAGTTTCCTGGAGCTGCCTGAAGAGGAAAGACAAAGCTGAGCCCAGCTGGGCAGGGCCCTTTGCCCTCCCCTCTCCCTGCACAGCTTAGGTAGTCCACCAAAGCAGCTCCCAGTTTTCAACTCTGCATTGCAGCAGCATGTACACACAGGAAAACTGCATAGATCATAGCCATAATGCTGGCACGTAGGTAACCGGCGCTCAGCTCCGACACCAGAGGCTGGCAGGCCCCTGTGCCAAAACTGCCCAAGTGCTTGTGGTCTTGCTTCCACTCTCGGAAGGGTGGTGCCATCCTCATTCCTGAGGTCACCTTCATCAGGATTCCCTGGACAGCTTGCTAAGAGAGGCTGCTGGGCCACACTCCAGAGGTGCAGGCTCAGGACGTGTGGGGTGGCTCAGATCCTTTGCTTTTCTGCCAAATTCTCATTCCTGCTAATAACACTGGCCTGACGTTTTACAGTTGATACCCTCCAAGTCCGGTTTCATGAAGCAGTTCTGATTCTATGCTTATATTATGGGAGTCCATCTATGATTTCATTTTTTAACTCAAGACGACTTAGTATTTTACATACACTCAACGTGTACACACAAATACATACACCCCTTGAGGCCAGAATTTCCCTATAACCCTCACTTTTTTCCTTTAAAATGTATGTATTTGGGGGCTGGCACAGTGGCATAGCAAGATAATCCTCACCCGGTAGCACCAGCTCCACCTCTGATCCAGCCCTCTGCTTGTAGCTTGGCTCAAGCTTTGAGGATGGCTCAAAACCTTGGGCTGCTGCACCCGTGTGGGAGACCCAGACGGAACTCTGGGCTCCTGGCTTCAGCCTTGTCTAGCCCCAGATACTGCAGGCATTTGGGGAGTGAACCAGTGGATGGAAGATTCTGTCTCTCCCTCTCTCCCTCCCTCTCTAACTCTGCCTTCCAAATAAATAAAATAATTAAAAAAAAAAAACCTAATGAGGAAGGTGGGTGGGTGGATAAGTTCTCTATTTGGTTGGTTGATAAAGAGCTTACTGTAATTTCAGCAGCTTAAGGGTGTCTCTTCCCAGACTGAAAGCCTGTGAACTGAACCTTCTCAGTGGTCTCTGGGTCCCACCGCTAAACACCAGCTCATCATCTGGGCGGCAGACGCCGGGTGACAGGATGCAGTGGTAGGGGGATGGGGTTCCGGAGGGCTGACCTCAGCCAGAAGCTGCTGCAAAGAGGGCGCAGGGTGGTGGGGGGGCACTTCCAGCTGTGGAGGGGGAGGGGCGCCAGCTACACAGCTGCTTGCTTTTAAGGTGGACCAAGGGATTTTCCCCACCTAAGTTTTTGAGGTACTGGGGGAAGTAGGGTTCCCAGTCTCACACCCACACTTTCCAGTCAGGGTATCACTCAGGGTAGAGGGCAGAAGATGACGGATTTTCTTTTTCGTTCTCTTTTTAAGTCATTGAGAGTGTCAGGATTCCAGAGTTTTAAAAATACTAAAAAAAAAAAAAAGTCAAGTGGCTCCTGAGACTCAGGGTACAGGCAAATATAATCTTCCCATTTCAACTGATGGTGAACTTGAGGTTTTCTTTAACAGCTCTGCCCAGGGTCCTTGTTAAGAGATTGTGGCAATAGGAAAGGGCGAATTCCTGTGAAATTACACAAGTACTTCCTTTAAAGGGGTCTCCTTAACAGCTGCCCCGCTAGCTGCCTTCCTCCTCGGAGCCTGTGCCCCACCAGAAGCTGGTCCCCCTGAGTCCCCAGCTGGCAGGAAGCTGATCCTGCCAGCCAGGCCTAGCGGAGCTGGGGAGGGGGGGCCTAGAGGCGCCCCACTGGCTACCACCTCCTGCTGCTGTCGCCAGGGAGGGGGGGGGGTCCCGGAGCTGGAGCGTGAACTCCATCCAGAAGCGGAGGCTTGGGAGCATCAGCCTGAGGAAGGGTGGCGCGGGGGTAACCGGTGCCTCCACTGCCAGGAGCGTCGGACCCTGCGCCTAGGCCTGTTCCTCCCGAAGGGGCAGGGGAGAGGGGCAGCATCACGAGGCGCTGCAAGGACCTGCGAGGGCTGCACCCAGACGTGGAGGGTGCGGAGGCGACGCTAGACATCATCGAGGTATGCCGGGGACTGCCCTGTCCGAATGGGGACAGGGGGTGGAGGGGCTGCGCTGCCGGTGGAGCACAAAGCTTCTTTGGGTGCGTTGGGGGTCCTGCAAGGGTGGAAAGTGCTGAGCCGGAATGCTGGACAGGGCAGGCTAGGACGATGACCTGCACGGTTCCCAGAGCCCCAGCCTTCCTTCCCCAGGCGTTGTCCTCTCTGGAATCCATCATCACTTCCTTTCCATTCTTCTACCAAGGGCCTGAGACTGGGCAATGCCTGGCACTACCAGCGAGTGGCTCTGGAGGCGGTGCTGTCGCAGGGAGCGGGGTGGGGAGTGTGTGTGTTAGGGGGGTGGAGGAGGAGGGGTACAGGGCCCTCGCTGGTGGGTCTGGCCCTCGCTCCTCCCTGCACCACCCACCCACGCATGGCGGCTGAGCTTGTGGCCCAGTGACCCTCGCGCTGTCATCCTGCCTAGCTCATGCACAACGATGCCCTGGCCCACTTCCACTAGGGAGGCTGCTTCCTGGTGCTGAGCTGCCACTACACCCCGTGCAGCACCCCGCCCCCCACCAGCAGGCCTCCCTAGAAGCTACATCCCTTCTTTGTCACCACAGGGCCCCCGCTTCTGGTCTCCTACTCACAAAACCTGGCCTGAGACTTGGCAATGGCCTTCCCTAAGGTCCCAGGGCAGTGGCCCGCCCCTGCCCCCTCTAGCCAGACCCTGGGCAGGGCGAGCTGGGCTGGGGAGCCTGGGGAAGTGCGTCTGTGCCTGGGGACTCCGTAGGCCAAGTCCCTGATCTTGGCCTGGACAGGTATAGTTTCTGCAGCAGCCCCTGTCCGGCTCCCAGAAGCGGTGCTGCACAGAAGACAAGTTGCTACTGCAGGCTGTGATGGCGGGAGTTTGCCCCCAGCCAGGGGTGTCAGCTGGACACCTGCTCTGCCCAAGCCACTAAACAGGCTGGCAGGATTAGTGCTGGCACCGAGGCCAAGGCCAGCTACCCAGGCTGGAAGCAGCTGCACGGCTCCCTGGGGAGGCAAGGGGCCTTCTTTCCTCATCTCCCTGAGTCTTTCCTGAACAACTCCATAGTCAAGGGCATGCTAGGAACCTTACACCTCCCAGAAGGTTCCTCATGCTCTAGGCACCTAGCCATGCTGGGAACAATCTCCCTACATACACTAACTCCTGGTGAGGGTACAGCTAAGATGTCCTGAAGAAAGGTTTCCCTCCTTCTTTCTTTTTCTTTTCTTTTCTTTCTTTTCTTTTATTTTTTCTTTCCTTTCTCCCTCCCTTCCTTTCTTTTTTAACTTAGTTATTTTTATTAGAAACGCATATCAGATATACAGAGAGAAGGAGAGGAAAAGATCCTCCTCTTTCTAAATGGCTGCACTGGTGGAAACTGAGCCAATCTGAAACCAGGAGCCAGGAACTGCTTTTGGGTCTCCCACGCGGGTTCAGGGTCCCAAGGCTTTGGACCATCCTCGACTGCTTTCCCAGGCCACAAGCAGGGAGCTGGATGGGAAGTGGAGCAGCTGAGACACGAACCAGTTGCTCCAATGAGATCCCAATGTGCACAAGGCGAGAACTTAGCCACTGAGCCATCATGTCAGGCCTTTTTTTTTTTTAAAGGCATACTCTTTTTCCTCTTTTTTTTTTTTCTTTTGATTTGTTTGAAAAGCAGACAGATCTATCATCTAGTTTATTCTCCAATACCCACAGCAATTGAAGTTGGGCCAGGCCAAGAATTAAATCCTGGTCTCCCACTCAGGTGTCAGGCACCCAAGGACTTGATCCATCACCCCCTGCTACCTCCCTGGGCGCCCTGCTATCAACCTGTTGGGCTCCTGGAGGCTTCTGTTGCTCCCCCGTTGGTCCGTGATGCCCTCCTCAAGGGCTTGAGCTGGGGGCAAGATAACCAGATCCTCATTTGCCTCCTGGCCACCAGGGGGCGGCCTCTACAGGAAAGCTTTGGTGGAGGCCTGCAGGGATACAGAGCAGAGTATGGACTGCAGGCTTAGGCAGCTGGAGGGCAGCCCCTGGCTGGCACACTGAAGGAGGCACTAGGCACTGCCTGCTTGGCAGCCCAGGGCATGGAGAGGTGAAACCTCTTCCCTGTGAGATACAGCAACATGGGAGGAGCCGAGCTGCCAACCCCTGGCACAAAACCATGCCTCAGTCAACAACTGCAGCGAGCACTGGGCCCATTCTAGTCCTGTCCTGGCCTTTACTGATGTGTTTGCATCCTCGGGGAAGGGGTCTGAAGCCTGGGGCACAGACAGCACGATGCTGGAGACTTCACTCACCAAGCTCATCCTGGACCGGCTGAGCCAGCCCATGACTGGTTTCCGGGAGCTGGTAGTGCGTGACTGGTTCCAGGTAAGTGGCCACCCAGTTCTAGCTCCTCCCCCTCCACCCAGAGCCCATGCTTCCTTGTGCCCATCATTCTGCCCTCTCCCCAGGCTGGCCACCCCTCCATCTGTGCTGTGTTCACTCGGCCTTTGCTCTTGCTTGCTCCAAGCTTAAGACACCCAGTTATCTCCTCTTCCTCGATTATGTGTGGGAGCTGGGCTGCCAGTTCCTGCAGTCGCGGAAATTCGGGAAGGGGCTGCTACTGGTGCTGTTTGAACACACCTGCACACCTGTGCCTCCCCCTTTGGCACCTTCCTCTACAATAGCGAAAAGGAGATGTGAGCTTAGAGAATGCTAGAGGCGCAGGGGCAGGCATAACAAAGGGCAGGTGCCAGCTGCCTTGGTGCCAGCCTTCCCTAGAAAACAGCAGTTTCTTCCCAGAGTGTCCCTCCTAAGCACTCTTGTGTGTCTTTGCCTCTGTTCCCTCCAAACTTCACGCATTCTGGTTACTTCCACAGCCGGGTTCAAGGCCAACCCTTTAGGTCTGCCCACTCTGTCTGTAGCCAGATAGCAAGTATATCTTGATCTTGAAGACCAGGACCGAGGGGGAAAAGATGCTGCAAAAGAAGCTGTCAGGGCCCGGCACCATGGCCTAGTGGCTAAAGTCCTCGCCTTGAGTGTGCCAGGATCCCATATGGGCGCCGGTTCTAATCCCAGCTGCTCCACTTTCCATCCAGCTCCCTGATTGTGGCCTGGGAAAGCCTTGGGACCCTGCACCCGTGTGGGAGACCTGGAAGAAGCTCCTGGCTCTTGGCTCTGGACCGGCACAGTACCGGCTGTTGCGCTCACTTGGGGAGTGAATCATCAGATGGAAGATCTTTCTCTGTCTCTCCTCTTCTCTGTATATCTTTGTAATAAAAATAAATAAAAATAAATAAATCTTTTAAAAAAAAAAGTTGCCTCTGGGATTGCAAGTGGAGTATGGTGACACAAGTTGATTCCTAGCTCCACGCACCTGCTGGGTGGTCACAAAGCTTGCCAAGCCTCAGGCGCCTCAGTAGTGACCTGACAGCAGCCATCTTCTCCAGAGGACTGTGAATATTAATGGAGTTGAAGCACAGTTTTGCACCTTGCCTGGCACCTGGTGGGCACACAGTGGCAGTTCTTTTGGTCCTTAACAGGCTCATGGCACACTCAGCCCTTGACAACGCCTCATCTCATCAGACTAGCAGATGTGGGGGAAGGCTGACCTTCCTCTTCTCCAAGGTGTATACTGGATGTAGCTTCTGTTGCCCCATCTTCCATCCCCCCACTCCTATGAGCATGCCATCTTGGATCAGCCAATTTGAAATCTGCCACCTTTATCTGCTTGTCTTGTCCCAGGATTTCATCCTACCCTTTATATATATTTTTAAAAAGATTTATTGCAAAGTCAGATATACAGAATGGAGGACAGACAGAAAGAAAGATCTTTCATCTGATGATTCACTCTCCAAGCAGTCACAATGGCTGGAGCTGAGCCAGTCTGAAGCCAGGAGCCCGGAGCCTCTTCCCGGTCTCCCACGCTAGTACAGGGTCTCAAGGCTTTGGGCCATCCTCGACTACTTTCCCAGGTCACAAACAGGGAGCTGGATGGGAAGCAGGGCTGCCAGGATTAGAACTGGTGCCCATATGGGATCCCAGTGCTTTCAAGCTGCACGATGTTGGTGGCAGGTGGAACCTGGGCCCACCCTGATCTCCACAATTCCTCTCAGCGTACTCACCAGGAAGGTAAAGCCTCTGGAGCTCAGGCAGACCTGGGGCCAGCTCACTGTGTTTTCAATGGCTGGGGCCAAGGCTCTAAGCATGAAGTCCAACCCGGCCTGGGACCTCTCAGCAGCCAACAGGCTGCTGGAAATTCTCCCACCCAGACCCCAAGGTCACCTAGCCTTTCTCTTAAACATATTTTGTGCAGTCCTGACCCCCCTGCTCCTCTCTGGCTGGCCTGGTCAGCAGCCTGCCTTCTGCTCTCCTGTTCCCACATTGCCCAGTTTTGCAAAGAACCCCAAAGCAAGAGCTGGCCCCACTGACATGGGTCTCCTCCCTGCTTTATTATTATTATTGCAAAGTCAGATATTCAGAGAGGAGGAGAAAGAGAGGAAGATCTTTCATGTAATGATTTACTCCCCAAGTGACTGCAATGGCCAGAGCTGAGCCAATCTGAAGCCAGGAGCCAGGAGCTTCCCCCAGGTCTCCCATGCAGGTGCAGAGTCCCAAGGTTTTGGGCCATCCTCGACTGCTTTCCCAGGTCGCAAACAGAGCTGGATGGGAAGCGAGGCAGCCAGGACATGACTTGGCACTCATGGGATCCCACCACATGCAAGGTGAGGATTTAGCCATTGCGCCATCTTGCTGAGCCCACACATTCCTTATCATTAAATTTTTTATTTATTTGAAAGGCAGAGTTAGAGAAGACAGAGATCTTCCATCCCTTGTTTCACTTCCCAAATGGCTTAACAGCCAGGACTGAACCAAACCAAAGCCAGGAAGCAGGAGCTTCCTCCAAGTGGGTGTAGACCAAACCCTTGGGCCATCATTTACTGCTTTCCCAGATGCATTTACTGAGAGTTGGATGGAAACTGGAGCAGCCAGGACTTGAACTGGTACCCATATGGGATATTGGTGTCATAGGTACGCAGACTGTAATGCCACAACTACACCCATATTTAAAAAAAAAAAAAATTAAGAAAATTCATTTGAGGGGCCTGGTGTGGTGGCACAGTGGTTAAGGTCCTAGCCTTGCATGCCCGGAATCCCATATGGGCACCGGTTCTATCCCGGCAGCCCCGCTTCCCTTCCAGCTCCCTGCCTGTGGCCCGGGAAAGCAGTCGAGGACAGCCCAAAGCTTTGGGACCCAGCACCCGCGTGGGAGACCCAGAAGAGGCTCCTGGCTTTGGATCGGCATAGTATCGGCCTTTGCGCTCACCTGGGGAGTGAATCATTGGACGGAAGATCTTCCTCTCTGCCTCTCCTCTCTGTATATCCGCCATTCCAATAAAAAAATAATAAAAATAAATCTTTAAAAAAATTCATTTGAAAGGCAGAATTGAAGAGGAAGGTCTTCTATCCATTGGTTCACCCCGCAAATGGCTGTGATAGTTGGGGCTAAACCAGGAAGAAGCCAGGGGTCAGAAGTTTCTTCTGCGCCTCCCACATGGGTGCAGGCCCCAAGCACTTGGCCCATCCTGAACTGCTTTCTCAGGTGCATTAGCAAGGAGCTGGATCAGAAGCTGAACAGCCAGGACACAAACCGGCACCCATATGGGATGCTGGCCCTGCAGGTGGTGGCCTTACTATTGCCACAGTGCTGGCTGGCCCTAATGACATGAGTCCACTCTACTATCAGGCAAGGTTAGCCTGCTTCTTCCCTCGCAACAGAACCTGTCACACAGCAGGTTGGCGTTTTTGTCCTGTTTTCCTAAGTGTGTGGTCTAAGACTTGACTGGAAAAAGGAGAGGCTCTATGCCAAGTGGTTGTCACCCCCACTAACCTGGGACACTGCCCTGCCAAGCAGAGCTGAGACTGAGGCCCAGCTGCCTCTCCACAGATGTCTATGAGCTGAGGACTGCAACGCACGCACTGCATCTGGGCTGGACGAACCCAAAGAGCAACTCCAGAACCCATTCTATGTCCTCAATCCCGTGCCATCTAGCCCTGCGTGGAGCCCGAGCCTGTGGCTCCTGCAAGGTGCCATCCCCCACCCCCTCTTCTCCCTTGGCCGGGACTGTTCCTGTTCCTCCTCAGGCCCATTTCTGTGCTGGACACATCCACCCAAACCTTTGGAGATGGCACGGGGGGAAGACGTGGCAGCTGGTGGACAGGGCGCACATGGAAGGCTCTCGACCAGCCGACAGCTTCTGCCCATGCCCCTCCTGAGCCCTCTACCGGTCCCTCAGGTTCTCATGTGAGGCCCCTGGACCTAGGCTGGCCCATAGTGATCTCAAGTTGTCAAAGTGTAGGGAGATTATCCTTCACTGGCAGCAGCTTGTTGGAGTGTCAGAGGGGAAAATGATGACATGACCTGTGGTACAGATTAAACTGTTGCCAGCAATGTTGGCACCAATTTGAGTCCTGACTGCTCCATTTATGTCCCTGTACTCAAACAGGAGACCTGGATGCAATTCCAGGCTCCCAGCTTTGGGGTGGCACACCTCTGGCTGCTGTGCCCCATTTGGGGAGTACAGCAGTAAATGGAAGATGTCTTCCTCAAATAAGTAAATGTTTAGGAAAAAAAAAAAAAAAGGGCCCAGCGCGGTGGCGCAGTGGTTAAGGTCCTCGCCTTGCACGCCCGGGATCTCATGTGGGCACCGGTTCTAATCCCGGCAACCCTGCTTCCCTTCCAGCTCCCTGCCTGTGGCCCGGGAAAGCAGTCAAGGACGGCCCAAGGCTTTGGGACCCTGCACCCGCGTGGGAGACCCGGAAGAGGCTCCTGGCTTCGGATCAGCATAGCATCAGCCACTGCGCTCACTTGGGGAGTGAATCATTGGACGGAAGATCTTCCTCTCAGTCTCTCCTCTCTGTATATCTGCCTTTCCAATAAAAAAATAATAAAAATAAATCTTTAAAAAAAACAGATCCCACAAAATATCTGCCCAGTAAACCATTTATTACCAAACTAATTTATTAATCAGAGTCCAAAATTTCTGTGAGCAACCTTCTCTAGGAAGGAGATCTGGCTTCTCACGCCTCAAATTCAAATTCGAAGTACTGAGGGTCGAAGTAGTGGATGCGAACGTAGCCATCTTCGCCGCCGCTGCTGTAGCTGGAGAGAGGCAGGGAGCGGTCAGAGGTCAGGGGAGAGGGGTGGAGGCGCACGGGGCAGAGCCCTCCCACAACACTCCCTACCTTTTGCCATCAGGATGGAAGGCAACGCTGTTGATGGGGCCAAAGTGACCCTTGACTCTTCCAAACTCTTCTTCGAAGGCCAAGTGGAAGAACCTGGAGGAGGCAGGTCATTGTGAACCTACCTTTCAGCTCCGTCCAAAACGTTAGAGCAGCTAGTGCCCAAAGCCAACCACGACAGCAAGACAAAGCAGGGCCCTGGGCAACACTGTGCAGCCGGGGGAGGGGCAGCTGCCGGACTGCAGGCTGATGCGTGCTGCATGCTCACATGTGCCCGGCAGTGCTCCCCTTCCCGCGGCTTTCACGTTCTTTTTTTTTTTTTACTTTTTAAAAATGATTACCATTTTATGATACATTTCCATAGGTCCTGGGATCTCCCTTACTCCCTCCTCTAGCTCCCCCACCCCTATATTATTACTATAGTACAGTTCTTCATAAACAGTGATATGTCCATCATTGTGGGAATGGACAATTGCAGAGAGTCCAGCATCCTATTGTCAAGATATAGTTAACAGTTTCATTGGGAGTCCATCTTTGTCTGGAAGTAGAGATGCATACTGCATTGTATCCTCCCATCTGGATATGATAGTCTCCATTATACAGTTACTATACATCCCCTTAAATGAAAGGCCACAATACAAAATCAACAATAGGAAGAAGAAATTTAAAACGTCATAAAGTTAATATGCTACTGAATAACTAATTTGTCATTGAAGAAATGAAAAAGTCAAGAACCTTTTTGAAGAAAATGATGCTATTGTTTGATCTATGAGTCAGTGAAGAATTTAATGAGGAACAAAGCGTTTTAAAGAGATGAAACTACATAAAACAAAACAAAAACACTAAAATTCATGACAATAGTGTCTGCTGATCTTTGTTGATGAGGTATGTCTTGTGTAGGTAACAAATAGATGAGTTTTGTTTTTTTAATCCACTATGCTATTCTATGAGGTTTGAATGATGAATTTAAGCCATCTGCATTCAGGGTTAATATGAATGGGTGGTAATTTGGTCCTGTCCTTTAGCAATGGGTTGTCCATCATCCTATAGTAGGAAGTCGAATTCGCTCAAGAGCAGCCAGGCCTTGAAGTGTGCTCCAATGAAGGATGCTGCTGAGCAGCTTAACTTGCTCTACCACAATGATGGCCCAGCAATTCTAAGAGGCATTACTGTTATCCCATATTCAGTTGAGGAATTAAAAAATATTAACTATTCATTTTTGTTTTACGAGAAGGAAAATGACAAAGAGACACAGGGGGACGAGTTTCCATCTGTTGCTTCACATACCAAACGTTATCCAACAGTCAGGGCTGGGCCAGACTGAAGGCAGAAGCCTGAAACTCAACCCAGACCAGGGACACATCACCTGCCACCTCCTAGGGTGCATTTAAATAGGAAGCTGCACTGGAAGCAGGCCCTCAGGTGCGACATGTGTGAATCACAAGGGGAGACTCCACCACGGCACCAAACACCTGGCCTTAGTTTTGGAATCCTGAGCCCAGAGAAACAAAACGCTATGTCTAGGCCCTGAGTGTTCAGGACCCCAATTGCTAGGTTAAGACAAGCCTGTCACACAGTGGTCTGCACTTCCCAGTGGCCAGTAGATATGGTTCGTGTTTATTAGGAAACACAAACACCCTACAAAGTTGGTGTTCGGAAGAGCTCCTGGCTTCCTTACCTGGCTTCAAATTTGCCAATCCTGGTGGAGGTTGTGGTCACATCCATAGCTTCCTGACCGCCTCCCAGCACCACCTAAAAGGAAGTAGAAGCTACATGCAGGCCCAGGGGCAGCGAAGTGCATGGTCTGTGCCCTCCCCCTTAAGAGGTCAAGGTCTCCTGCAGCACAGAGGGAAGACACCAAAGGCAGAGGGCAGAGATGAAGAGAAGGGACCTGCCAGCCCACCCCCACCCCCTGGGGCTGGTGGAGTTCCCTCACGTGGTCATAGTTGGGAGAAAGAGCAGCTGAGTTGACAGGACGCTCCGTCCTGAACGTCTTCTGGTGTTCTAGAGTTGTGGAGTCAAAGAGCTGCAGAGAGAAGGCAGAGGAGAAATTAATCCGTGAAAACCCCCTCTTCCTGGGGAACGTGAGGCAGAGCGCATACCACAGGAGTGGGAGGCGGCCCTGCCAGCCTGTGAACCCGGGCTGACCTTGGCCGTGTTGTCTTTGGATGCGGTGACGAACATGGTCATGTCCCTGGACAACTGGATGTCATTGATCTGCCGTGAGTGCTCCTTCACATTCACCAACACTTCTCCAGACTGGAAGAAAAGGAGCAAGATTCAGTCTGGGCCCAATTCCACCCCCGCAGAAACAAGGCACCCATATCAGAAATGGCAACACGCTGAACCTCTCCCTTTCCTCAGCCCATCTGTCTCATTAGCCACTTCTGAGTAACCTCAACACGTACTGACTAGCTTAGATTCATCTTCTAAACTGTAGCCTGCAAAAACCTAAAGAGAGAAGCTGTCAGGCAGGGCCAGCACTGTGGCACAGCAGGAAAAGTTGCCTACAATGCTGGTATTGCATATGGGTCGAGTCCCAGCTGCTCCACTTCCAACCCAACTCCTTGCTGTCTAGGAAAGCAGCGCAAGATGGCTCAAGTGCTTTGCACCCAATATGGGAAGTTCCTGGCCTCGGCTGTCATGCCCTGGCCTTTACAGCGATTTGGGGGGTGAGCCAGTGGATGGAAGATCTCTCTGTAACTATACCTTTCAAATAAATAAAAACAAATCTTAGTAAAATAAAAACAGGGGCTGCCATTGTGGCACAGCAGGTAATGCTGCTGCCTGTGATGCCAGCATCCCATAGAGGCTAATTCAAGTCCTGGCTGCTCAGCTTTTGATCCTGCTCCCTGCTAATGTGCCTGGGAATAGTAGGAGATGACCCAAATGCTTGGGCTACTATATCTTTCTGGGAGACCCGAAAGTTCTTGGCTTTGGCCTGGCCCAGCCCTGGGCACTGCAGCCATCTGAGAAGTAAATTTAGCAGATAGAAGATCTCTCTCTCTCTCTCTGTAACTTCCTTACAAACAAACAGAATAAATCTTAAAAAACAAAACAGATCCCTGCAGTGAATGCTGCACTGAAGCACATTACGGCAACAGGTTTGTTTTCTATTCTATGTCAGAGTGCAGGTTCAAGGCCTAGCTGCTCTGCTTCTGATCCAGCTTCCTGCTGATATATCCAAGGAGGCAGCAGGTGATGGTCCAGTTTACTGGGCTCCTGCCTTCCACGTGCAAGAGCTGAGTAGAATTCCTGGCTCCTGGCATTGGCCTGGCACAGCCGTGGCTATTGCAGGCATCTAGAACGTGAAGCAGCAGATCCAAGGTCTATTACTCTACCTGAGTCAACGACAGTGAACATTTGAAAATCAAGTCCTTTGCTCCCAGCACTTCAGGCCTTTTAGGTCCAGTTCTTGCCCAATTCAGTGGTGCATCACAAGTCTAGGCTGTACCTAACTGGTGGCCTTTGGTTTTGCTGCTTCCTTTGCCTAAAGAATGCTTCTTGCTTCCTGCTTAAAGTGCCATTTATCCTCACAATGTAATGTGCACACCACCGTAACACAGAACACCTCTATGATGGCACGAAACACGCTCTGACTCACATGCTCAGATGCTGTCAAGCCCGTGACCTCTCTTGTCTAGTAACCGCGTCTGTCTAAATAACCTCTCAGGCTAGAAGCTGAACACTGGGTCTGGCACCCTGTGGTGGCAAGGAAAAAGCTTCTCTGGCAATTCTTCCCAAGGTTTACGTCATTTATTTGAAAGGTACAGTGACAGAGAGGAGCTGGCATTCACTCCCCCTACTGCTGCCCAACCTGGGGTTGGGGTAGCCTGAAGCCAGGAGCCCCATCTCTGTCTCCCATACAGGTGTGTAGGACGTCAAGCACACGGGCCTTCACCCATGGCTTACAAGCAAGATGCCAGGCAGGTCTAGTAGTTTGGACTCAAACTGGTCCTCTGATACGGGATGGAGGTGACCCACCATACCTGACCCTTATCTAGGATTTTTATTAATGCATCTTGAGCGCTCCAGATTTTTCAGATACCTGATGTCATTTGATCGTTGAAGCAGATAAATAGACTGATATATTACATGACTTGCTTAAGATCACACAGCTAAAAGCTGAGATTTACACTTGAGTAACTGCTGTTCTGAGGCTGACACAGGTGAGGAGGGGTCCTGGGGGGCTGGGCCACCCTGCCCCTTACCTTGGCGCTGTACTGGTTGAGCTCTCCACTCTCATGGCCTGCGATGATGCACTCCCCCAGGGGACCCCACACGGCGCTGGTGATCTTGGAGTCATTGCAGGGGATCTTCATGTAGGGCTCATTGCTGTCTGATTGGGACGCGAGATGTCAGGTCCTGGACCTGAGTGCAGCCCTTTCCTTACTCTCCCCCGGCCCCAGGCCTCACCAATCTGGCTTGGATCCCGCAGGTCGAAGAAGCTCACAAAGCACTGGTAACCCATCTGCTTGTCAGTGGAGAACATGATGATGTTGCCCCCAAAGTCAAAGCCACAGGTGCGCACGGCTGAATTGGTCTTGAGGAGGGCCAGCTGCTTGCCTGCGAAGAGGCAGAGAGGGGTTACCCTGTGCTCAAGGGGACCGTCCACCAGCTCCTCTTCATGTCTCCCGGCCCATTCCTTCCTCACTGCTCTGTGGTGGCGACAGCCCAAGTCTCCTGCCTTTCTCACTGCTCTGTTGACAGTGGACCCCGGCACACTGGGCTCCCTCCAGCAGCACTCTGCCCCAGCCCAGCCCTGGCCTGATCTTTCGGCACATCTCCAGCGCACAGGAGATGGGAGCAACTTCACGGGCACCCCTGCCTGCTGTCCGAGCAGTCAGCACCTCCCACTGTTCCCTGACCTAGCTACATCCGCAGAACCTGCTTCTCCTCTGTGCGCAGGCACCTCCACAGCAGGCCCTTTGGGCTGCAGAACGGAGCCAAGCTCCAAGTCTGGCATTCCAGGCTTGCTCTCCAACCCCCACTTCTCCATTCACTGTCTACTTCAGCTGCCAGGAGGCAGGACTCCAACCAGATCAGATAACCTGTCCATGGCTTCACTCCTCTGTCTGCCAACACGCTGACGTCTTTCTCATCCTGTAAGCCTCAGCTCAGATGACAGGGGCCTTGGAAAACTGGCCTGGGCTGCTGCCACCCCCACTACAGGCAGTCAGCTGCCTGCCTCGGGCCTTCCTTCCACACTGCTCTGTCTCCCCTCTAAGGTCTCCTGTCTTCTGACGACACTTTTCTTGCTGTCCTCACTGCGTCACCGTCACTTATTTCCCTACTTGGAAGCCATCTCTGGATTTAGCTCTATTTGCTTAGATCCCGATGGCTCAGACAAGTACCCGGAGACCCTTAATACTTGCCAGAGAAATGAAAGACCCAGGCTTACCTGTTTCACAGTCCCAGAGACGACAGCTGTTGTCAGCTGAGCCAGTGAGGACATGCTTGGTGTCCCCTGAAGAGGTGTTAAGAAAGAGGTAGGAGGCCTGGTGCAGTGCTTCAATTGGCTAATCCCTCCATTTCACGTGCCAGGATCCCAGATAGGCACCAATTTGTGTCCCGGCTGTCCCTCTTCCCATCCAGCTCCCTGCCTGTGGCCTGGGAAAGCAGTAGTGGATGGCCCAAAGCCTTGGGACCCTGCATCCATGTGGGAGACCCTTAAGAACCTCTTGGCTTTGGGCTGGCTCGGTTCTGACCATTGAGATTACTTGGGGAGTGAAACAGTGGATGGAATTTCTTTCTTTCTGGCTCTCCTCTCTGTAAATCTGCCTTTCCAATAAAAATAATAAAATCATAGAAAAAAAAGTCTGAGTTCACCTGTGCTCTTGATCTGTCAGAGGCCTTCTGGGTGGCCTCTGCGTTCTGCCCCTGCAGCCTTTTTCCCTCTTACTTGGGAGCATCCTACCTCCCGCAGCCTGAAACTTAAAGTCAGTTCAAATAAAGAGATGGAGGAAAATGAGATATAGGGGCAGGAGGTACCGCTCCTTAGATCTGTGACTGCCACACAAACTCCCTCCAACACTACCACCAGGCCCTGGGAGCACAGCCTTGGCCAAGCACAAGGATACAGTCGGCGTCCACACACCACACAGCTCCAGTGTGGCCCATGTAGGTGCCCAGTCGCTCCCCGTTCACCGAGTACCACACATTGACAATCTGGAGGGATCAAACAACAGGTTACACACTTCCCAGATGAGCTTTGGCCTCCACACCTGCCCCAAGAACCCTCGACACCTCCAACCAGGTACACTCTGCCCTCTCTCCTGATCATCTCTCTTTTGTAAAAATAAATTTGCATGAATTTCTTTTCATTACATCTGAAAGGCAGAGAGAGAGTACCTCCATCTGCCGCAGAAGCCAAGAGCCAGGCACTATAGGCAGGCTTCCCACGTGGGTCACAGAGACCCCACCTGCTGTCTCCCAGCATGACCATCAGCAGGAAGCTGGATGGAAGCAGAGGACATGAGGTATCCGATGCTGGTGCCCCTAGCAGCACCTTCACCGCTGCACCAAAAGGCTGCCTCTCCTGCTACACCTTTGGGAAACAGCAGGAACCTGGAGCAGACCAAAAAAAAAAGGCAGCCATTGCAACTGGGCCCAGCACAGTAGCTTAGCGGCAAAAGTCCTCGCCTTGCACACACCAGGATCCCATATGGATGCCAGTTCAGGTCCTGACATCCCTGCTTCCCATCCAGCTCCCTGCTTGTGGCCTGGGAAACCAACTGGGGACAGCCCAAACCTGGGACCCTGAACCCATGTGAAGACTAAGAAGCAGCTCTTGGCTCCTGGCTTCAGATTGGCTTAGCTCCAGCCTTTTTGGTCACTTGGGGAGTGAACCATCAGACAGAAGATCTTCCTCTCTGTCTTTCCTCCTCCCTGTATATCTGCCTTTCCAATTAAAAATAAATCTTTAAAACAAAACAAACAAACAGATAAACAAAAACCCAGCCATCTTGGGAGTCTCTTCCCTTAGTGAGGTTGGAAATCGGAGGTCTGCAAAGGGGTCCTAATTTTCCAGCCCCAACCTTCCTTCTTTCAGGAGGAAAAAGGACAGAGTCAAGTTCACGAACCGGTGAGAGTGGCTGGCAGGCAGCATGTCAGAGTTCCAGGACCAGCTCTGCCGCCCTCTACCTCACCTCAGGCCCTGCGTTGTTGCCCTGGGAACCTCGGTGTTCCGGTCTTCGAAGCGGTCAAGCCAGGGCAGAAGTTTGGCTCAGGGCTTCCGATGTGGACTGGGAAGCCTGGTGTGGTTTCCAGATTCCTGCTGCACCTACAGATGAAGGCTCTGGGACCTGCGTCCCTGCCCTCACATAGGAGACTGGCAACTGACTCAGGGCTTGCCACTTTGGCCTGAGCCAGCACTGCCTGGCCATTGTGGGAGTCTGGAGAAGTTGGGGGAGTGAACCAGCAACTCTGTCTCTCAAAAAACAAAACAATTTTCAGCAGCACTGTAATGCATTGATCAACTGGCTCAAGCACTAGCACCCCAAATGGACACTGGTAGGTGTCCCAAAGCTTCAGGACCTTGTAACCATGTGGGAGACATTCAGGAGGCTCCTGGCTCCTGATCGGCTCAATTCTGGTCACTGTAGCCAACTTGGGGAGTGAACCAGCAGATGGAAGATCTCTCTCTCCTCTCTGTAAATCTGCCTTTTCAATAAAATAAATCTTTAAAAAGTTTAAAATCCAAGTGACATTAAGTACTCTATTGGCCCAGCTAAGCTCCTCACAGAATGCTAAAGGCGAACCCAAGAGGCAGGTACCGTAAGCACCCTTATTTTATGAAAAGGAACATTTGAAGTTTGGGAGGATTTGGGACACGCTCCTGGTGGATACAGGACTTAAGATTACAAACTTTTAACCAGTTTACGTTCTCCTTCTGGGGGTCCCTCAAAAAGCGGGGGTCTGTCCGCCTCGAGTAGGGAGAGTGAGGCGCCCTGTCCCCCCCACCCGGTCGTTCTCCCTTGGCTGTTTCACGAATCAGCTTGGTCCTCCCGTCGCGGTCACTCGGGCGGTCTTAGGCGTCCTGTACGGCCACCGTCCCCGGGAGAGGGAAGCCTGCTCCTTCCGCCCCTCCGCGGCGCCCGCCCGCCCTCCGCCCGAGCTCACCGGGTCCTTGGCCACGGTGAAGAGGAGATCGCCCTCGCGGTTATACTTGATCTGCGTGATGGACCGCTCGTGGCCCTGCAGCAGGATCGGCTTCTGTGGGGACAGCACGGCAATGTCAGGGCCCGGCACGGAACCCCCGCCCCCGCCTGGGACCCTCACCACTGAAACGCCTGAGTCCCGGACTCACCATGCTGCCGGCGGCTGCGCGAGGAAAGCGGCGGCTGAAACAGGACCGGAAGAGGAGAAAGAGACTCTGGAGCCACTTCCGGATGCTGGGTCTCCGCCCCCTCGTTCCCGGAAGTGGACGTGCGCGGCGTTGCCATGGAGGCGTCTTTAGGTGGGTAGTGGGCCACGCCCCTCCCCGGAGTTCTGGACCCTGTTACTCCGAGTTCCATCCCATCCCATAACCTCCCCTGGTCCTCCAGACCCCTAGACCCCCAGATCCCGGTCCCAGCAGCCTCCCGGGATCTCGCCTATGTGCCAGCCGTAGCCGTAGCCGGGGTACGGGGGAGCGAAGAAGGGAGATGGAGCTGGGGGTCGGGGAGGGTGGTGCCAGGAGGCCGTGGTGGGGCTGTGGGACCGACTGAGACTACTCTGTATCCGTCTCTATTCAGGGCAGGTGCTGACTCTGGTGCTGGTGGCCGCTCTGTGGGGCGGTACGCAGCCGCTGCTGAAGCGGGCGTCCGTAGGGCTGCAGCAGGTGCACGAGCGGACGTGGGCCCGGCAGTTGCTGCAGGAGATGAAAAGCCTCTTCTTGAACACTGAGGTGCGTCCCTGCATGCTCCGCCCTGGCGCAGGTGGCTCAGAGCTGTGAGAACCATGTGTGATGAGCACAAAAGCCACTTAGTGTGGGCCTGTGCATAGGAAGTGTTCCACCTATGGCTGCTATTATTAGTATTTTATTATAATCATCCCTCCATTTTAGCTAATATGGGACAACTACTGCGAAGTGAGCTTCTTTCCGAAGGGAGGGAGACTCCAGTTGCCATGGACAAGAGAGGGCAAGGAGGCATGTGGAGAACCACCTGTGCCTCAGGAATACCAGTGACAAAGCTGGGCATGGACAGAACTCCATCTTGGGGCTGAGGGCCAGGAGCGAGTTAGAGACTGAGGGAGGCTGAGCTAAGGGACTTCCTGGAAGGGGTAATAGGGGCACCCCAGACCTTGCAGGATGAAGAGGATGGGCCAGCTGAGCTGAGGGAAGAGCCATTTGGGGTCCAGGCCTGGAGTTGGGTCTGGTTCCTGCCTTGCCCTGGCCAGGCCCTGCTCAGTGGGCGTCATGCTCCCTGGGCCCTTCTAAGCACCCCTCCTGCAGGGAAGGGCACAAGCTGGAGGCCAGGCAGGCTGCTCCACAGAGATCACACTGAATGCAGGTCTTTCTTGGTAACAGTATCTGATGCCCTTCCTCCTCAACCAGTGCGGCTCCCTGCTCTACTACCTCACCTTGGCATCCACAGGTGGGTCTCTGGAAGAGTCACCCTGGGGAGGGAGGCTGTGGCTCAGTTCCCTCATGGGTGCCTTCTGCCCTGAGTGTGTCACCAGAACCGTGAGAGATTCAAAGCCAGGCAACCCTGGGCAGCAGCAGAGGGAAACAGAAGGATCGGAAGGGAAGGGTGAAGGGTAGGGTAGGGTTGGTTGCTGTAACCAGTGCTGCCTATGACACTTTTTTTTAAAGATGTATCTATTTTTATGGAAAAGGTCCCAAGGCTACAGAAGGATGAGGCAACAGTGTTCTTCAGCAGCAAGAACCGCTGGGGACAATCTGATGGGAGATCTCCAATTATTGTGTAGAAAATACAAACTTATATAGACAAGGAATAGGGAAGGCAGGAGGGAGTGTCCCAACAGTCCCTTCACCCAAGGATAACACTGTGATTAGCTATAAAGCATGCCTTATCCCTTTATTTTTTTTAAGATATATTTGTTTTTATTACAAAGTCAGATATACAGAGAGGAGGAGAGACAGAGAGGAAGATCTTCCATCCGATGGTTCACTCCCCAAGTGACCACAACGAACAGTGCTGTGCCGATCTGAAGCCTGGAACCAGGAACCTCTTCCAGGTCTCCCACACGGGTACAGGGTCCCAAAGCATTGGGCCGTCCTTGACTGCTTTCCCAGGCCACGAGCAGGGAGCTGGATGGGAAGCAGAGCTGCCAGGATTAGTACTAGTGCCCATATGGATCCCGGCACATTCAAGGTGAGGACTTTAGTCGCTAGGCCACATGGCCGGGCCTGCCTTATCCCTTTAGGCCCTCCCCAGGCATGTCACAGGTTAAGTTGCACACGCATGGCTAGAAGCTATACCTCAGATCATGGACGGGAAAGCTGTGACTCATGCCCACCAGGTAGCAGGCAGAAATCTGGGGTGGGGGAGTGGGGATCTCCTACAGAAAGGCAGATTTACAGAGACAAGGAGAGGCACAGAGAGATCTTCCATCCACTGGTTCACTCCCCAAATAGCCACAATGTGCAGAGCTGAGCTGATCTAATGACAGAAGCCAAGAGCTTCCTACAGGTCTCACACATGGGTACAGGGGCCCAAGGACTTGGGCTAGCCTCTACTACCTTCCCAGGCCACTAGAAGGGAGCTGGATGGGAAGTGGAGCAACCGGGATGCAAACCAGCAGCCAAATGGCATTCTAGTGCCTCAGCAGAATATTAGCATGCTATGCCATGGTGCTGGCCCCTTCTTTGACTTTCTTGTTTCCATGATATGAAGATACTTCAGAAAGTTCATGGGAGATAAATAATATTAAAAAACACTATTTTTCTTTTTATCAAAAATCTGTTTTCTAATTCCATTTTGCATGAACTTTTTGAAGTACACTCTATGGGACCTGCCCAACCTTGAGCAAATCCCTTGTCAGCCTTGGTTTTACACAGTCAGCTTTACAGCATTGTGACAATCTAATGCAGTGTATGGGAAGCCTCAAGCATGGTACCTAGCATACAGAGAAGCAGAATGAAGGCAAATTTCTTTCCCTTGACATTTGTGTACTGCCATATTTATACATGGCAGGATTACAAAGAAAGAGATTGTGCCTGACACGGTAACCTAGTGGCTAAAGTCCTAGCCTAACATGTACCAGGATCTCATAGGAATGCTGGTTCATATCCTGGCAGCTCCACTTCCCATCCAGCTCCTTGTTTGTGGTCTGAGAGAGCAGTAGAGGGCAGTCCAAAGCCTTGGGACCCTGCACCCTTGTGGGAGACCCGGAGGAAGATCCTGGCTCCGATTATCTCAGGTCAAGGTGTTATGGCCACTTGGGGAGTGAGCCAGTGGATGGATCGTATGTCTCTCCTTCTCTCCACAACTGATTTGCCTTTCCAATTAGAAAAAAAAATGCAATTTTTTGATGGAACAGAAAGCGAAATCTTCCATCTTAATATACTCTCTCTGCCTTCCACATGAATAAAATAAAATGTCTAAATTTTATTGTAGCCACTTGGGGTGTGCACCAGAGGAGGAAAGATCTTTTTGTCTCTCTTTCTCTCTGTGAATCTGACTTTGCAATTAAAAAATATTTTTAAAATTAAAATTAGGCCCGGCGTGGTGGCGCAGTGGTTAAGGTCCTCGCCTTGCATGCCCGGGATCCCATATGGGCGCTGGTTCTAATCCCGGTGGCCCCACTTCCTGTCCAGCTCCCTGCCTGTGGTTTGGGAAAGCAGTCGAGGACGGCCCAAAGCCTTGGGACTCTGCACCCATGTGGGAGACCCGGAAGAAGTCCTGGCTCCTGGCTTCGGTTTGGCTCAGATCCAGCCATTGTGGCCACCTGGCGAGTGAATCATCAGACAGAAGATCTTCTCTGTCTCTCCTCTCTGTATATCCACCTTTCCAATAAAAATAAAATAAATCTTTAAAAAAAATTAAAATTAAACTCCTAGCTTGGTGCAGTGGTTGAGACACTGCCTGGGACCCCAGCATGTCAGAATGCCTGACTTCAATCCCAGCTCCTCTTCTGAGATTCCTTCCTGTGTGCACCCCAGGAGGCAGTGGGTGATGGCTCAAGTACTTGGGTCTCTGCCACTCTTGGGAGGGACTCAGATTGAGTTCCAGTCTCCAGACTCCTGCCTGGCCTGGCCGTGACTGTTGCAGTCATTTGGGAAGTGAAAGCAGATGGACATCTGTCTGCCTTCCCAATGAATAAAATACACTTAAACCTCCAATTCACCTATATTTGTGTGACTCTTGCCTTGCTTCCCTTGCCTTGTTCACAACGGGGACAGTTCTCTCCTTGTGGGGTTGTGAGCATTGTAGTTGGCTCACCACACCGTGGAAATAACTTGAGAGCTGCGTGTGCAGCAGTGAGCATATGCACAGCTCTAGCTTCTCAAGCAGTGGCTGTGCCTGGTAGTCCTACCCATGCCCTGTGCATGTACAGGGCCATGAGCATCTGCTTCTCTGTCCGTTTGGCTGGCTGGATCTCAGGGGTTCTCTTAGGATGTAAAGGCCTCCTTCTCACCACCCAGCCTGACTGCCCTTACACCCTTGTTCTGGAACCCTGGGAGAGCATGAATGCTGGGGCAGGAGAGCTGGCCTGAAGTCCTGAACTTTCCTCTGCAGTCATTAGGCGCCTCTGGAAGGCATGGGATGGTGATGATGATGACGCTGATGCTGGTGAAGGAAGGTGTGACCCAAAAGGCATTTTCCCGCCTCTCAGGGATGCTTCCCGTTTTGACATTCCCTTGCCCCAACTCAGATCTGACTCTTGCTGTGCCCATCTGTAACTCGCTGGCCATCATCTTCACGCTGATTGTCGGGAAGATCCTTGGAGAAGAAATCGGTGGGAATCGTAAGTCAGGCTGCTGCGCTCTCGGGGCTGTGCCGGGCCGGGGTGAGTCCCACAGCCCCTCTCCCAGGGGCTGCCCCTCGCTTCTGCGCCCTTCCTGCTTCCTCACAGTCATCAGTTTCCCTCCCCTAGACACTTTGGGGACAGAGGCTGGGACAGACATTTGGATCAAACCTGGGTGAGCTCTCCCCACCCCCACCCCGGCCCAATATCAGCTCCTCCTGGCATGGCCCAGCCTGCAGCCCCCTGGTGTTTGCCCATTACTCCAGGAGCTGTTATTGGCATGGCGCTCACGGTGACCGGAATCATGCTGTGCATCGCGAGCTCGGTGAACAAGGCCCACAGGCAGCAGTCCACACTCTGACTTGTGCTGGAGCCCTGGGCCACAGGCTCAGGCCCGAGCAGGGAGAGCCGGCACTTCTCCCGCAGTCTCTGCCTCCTCCTCTCCCCTGTGGATGATGACTACCTCATGGATCTTGTGAGGGACCCAGACCACACGCGGGCGACTGTGTGCACTCTCAGCAGCTCTCTCCTGCTGTCATCCCAAGCCCTGCCCAGGTGCTACTACTGAGACCTATGGATTGTCACACGGCAGGCAGGTACCACGGACTGCAGCACCCTCACTGTGGTCTCTGAGCCAGAGGTGTCCACAGGAGGTCTCCAGGGCCAGTGTCTCAGCTGGCTGAGTGCTGCCGGGCAGCAGACACATCAGGATGGTGGGAGAGGAGCTGTCTGCTCATCCTGCCTTGTCCCACCCCTGCAGTGAGCAGGCACCCCCTCACTGCTGCCTCCTCCCTGGCAGGTGGATAGCAGGAGCCCAGCCCTACCTAACTCAGCACCCGGCGTGACTACTGGGGAGTGACAGCTTCCATAAACCTGCCGTCGATGGAGCTGGTCGTCGTCTTTTATTGTGACAATCCGTTCCCATGTCTAGTCTGTCTCCCAGGCTCCTCTGATCAGAGAATCCTGTAAGGATGAGGCTGTTCAGCTCAGAGAGGGGAGGTAGGGCTGTGGGCTGAGGAGCAATGAGGACAGGGGCATGGGGGCTCTGGCTCCACAGGAACAGGCTACAGGAGGTTACTACACAGTGCAAGGTGGGTGGTCTCCAGTTCGGCAGTCGTCAAGTCTCAGGACAGCAGGGCAGGGGACGAGCCCGAGATGGCCTTCCCAGTCCCAGTCCCAGGCTGTTCTTTCAGTGACAGGACCTCAGCCACCATCTGTGCTGGCCACTGCAGGCAGTACAAGGTATACAGGACAAAGCTGCAATCAGTCCCACCTCTGCTCTCAGCTGAGAGTCCCCGCCCCAGAGGAAGAAGAGACTAGGAGTTAGGGACTGCTGCCACACCTAAGCGGGTAGGAGCAGCTGAGTTCTGGGAGGGTCGGTCAGTCCCGAGGAGAGCCGTTCCCGGGCCTAGGCTGCCACTTTCTGGTTCAGCACATCTGTGCCCATGCAATGCTACCGATGCCCTGGCTCACTCATCCCTTGGCTTACCCGATCTGGGGGCTCCTCCATCTGGGTCTCTTCATCCTCTGCTACCTCCTGGGCCTCTGCTGCCTCCCTGCTGGGCTGGGAAGCTGCATACACTCCCCGAGCTCCTGGTGAAGCAGTGACAGGGCACAGGCTCATGCCCAGGCTGAGGGGCCTTTGACATTCATTCCCTGCGCTCTCTTCCCAGCCCTTTCCCCTCCTCTGGGCCGTATTCACATTCCCCACTGCCCCAGAGGAGGGCTGGGGCCCCACAGTCACCAGCACTGACTCCTTTCCATGTGGCTCCAGTCTCATGCAGGTATAGGACTGCAAGGTCAGGGGCAGCCAGAAGCTGCCCTCTTGGGCATCCCCAGCAACAGCAGTCACCATCCTGTCATACAACATGTCAAGGGGCACTGGGACCCCTTACCTGGTCCTGGTGGAAATGCCGGAGTGGAGAGCTTGCTCCAGGGCTGAACGGCTGCCTGCAGTCTGGCATAGAACACAGACGGCTCCATCCGGCCTGGTTCCTTTGGAGAGGGTGAGGTTGCCTGTACCCCAAGGCCGTGGGCCTGTGCAAGGGACACTGCACTGGCACCCTGGCCTCAGGCTGACCTCACCATTCTTCCCTGAGCCCAGATATCACAATGAACCCTGCCACCCGTGGGAACCTGGGAGAGGTGCAGGGATCTATCTTCATGGCATGCATCCTCCCCCTCGCCCCCTCTTCCCTTTTGCTGCCTTTGCTAGGGAGGGAGTGGCCACTGCTGCCACCTGAAGATGCTCAGTAAACTTCACCATGTCCCCTGCCCTGCACCCTGTACCCATGGGCCCATCCTCTCTGGTCTAGAATGGTGGGGAGGCTGGCAAGTTCCCGGAAGTCCTGCTGTTCCACAGTGCTGAGCCAGTGCCCTTTCCCCGTGCACAGCCCAGCAGGAAGGCACTCCTTAGGTCCTGTGCCCTGAGCTCTGGAGGCCCAAGTGCCCCTCAGGTCCCTAACTGAATCACTCTGAACAAACCACTTCCCTTTTTGAGCTTCATTTTCCACCTCTGGGAAGTGGCACAATGCCTACTTCACAAGTATTGACAGGATGCAGAGACAAGGGTCGGAGCCGGTGGCAACAGGTGTCCCCTCATCCTCCATCCCCAGGGGTGCCCACCATCACCTACCCCCTGCCTGTGGGGCCTGCACTTCTGACCTGGTGGATGCCTGTGTGAAGGAAGCAAAGACTGCAGGGTGGAAAAGGACACGGTACACCAAAGCACCCAGATCAAGGGAGGCCACCTCTGCCCTCATCCCCACTGTCACCCTCCACCTCCAGGACAGACCAGCAGCCCCCAGGCTGGGAGGGGCTGGGCACCAGCAGCTCCATGTAGGGCAGGGCCTTGAAGTCTTCTTTTCCAACAGCAACGTAGTACTGGCCATTCCCCAGGGCCTCCCCTGTGGAGATCAGGCGTCCCTCCAGGGTGCAGAGTCTGGGAGTGCACGTGGTGAAGGTCGGAGGACACAGTGGACTGTGAGGGGTGGGCAGTGGACTCGTCCCGAGTCCCTGGAGGTGATGCCGTCCTCTGAGAGTGGGGCCAAGTGTGGGCCTTTCTCTCTCTCTCCCTGTGGCCCTGAAGGAGGGCCACTGCAGAGACATGTACTTTGCCTCTTAATCCACAGGGGCAGCCCAAACCCAGGGGCAGGCTTGCCGTGGGCTCCCCCAACTCCCGTGCTCACTTGTACACTGCCCCACTCTGCAACTTGGCCTTCTCAGTCAGGAATCCCAACACGGTGTCCCAGTCCTCGCAGGCGGCCTGAGACAGCTTCAGAGTAAATGGGGGGCTTAGCAGATCCCCATTCCTGAACACACTGACAGAGAGCAGGCTGGTAAGGGGGAGGAGCTCCAGACTGGCCATCTGTGAGGGGGCGGGGCACACTGGTTCATTCCCCCTCCCCCGCCCTCCCAGGCCCAGAAGTCTGCTGGGCTTCCTGTGCTGCCAGCAGCACCGAGGAGCTCTTGGGACAAGTGCACCCCCATTTCCTTGGTCTCAAGGAAACAGACACCCAACCCTGTTCCCCGACACTGTCACTCACTGAATGTAGCAAGGGGCGCCTGCGGGTGGTCTCTGTCCAAGGACCCCATCATAAGGCCGGTGAGGCACAGGAAGACCCTGAAATCCAAGTCAGACTCCACAAGTGGATTGAGGCCTCAGGTTAGGAATGAGGCAGGTGTGACGGGAGGGCAGGAGCAAGGAGGGGGATTGGTCACACCTTCCACCAAAGTGTGCTTCGTAGTCCCCTAAACCACATCCTACCCACTGTCCCATGTGTGGTCCACAACTTCCTGTGGGGACCACAGCCTGGACGTGAGATGAAGATTGCACAATGACAAGGGGTATCTGAGATCCTGACCCCCGAGGGCAGCGGCTGCTTTTATGGCTGTGAAGTATCTCCCGGGAACTGGTAGATTCAGCAGCCTACAGAGCTCCTGCCTCACCAGGAGCATGGGAAGAGAGGAGCAGGGAACAGCCTCCCTGGTGACTCACTTGTGACTTGTGGCTTTTCCTCCCAGGGTCCTTCCTTGAAGGGAGTAAGTAGCTGAAAAGACAGGTTATCGGTCATCGAAACCCAGTGGCTGCCCAGCTGGAATACTCTCAGTCACCCGGCTGTGTGTGACTCAATTCCACATTAGACTCCTGCTGGATCAGGCTGGGATGTCCAACAAAAGCCGTGATATTAGGCCAAGAAAGACTTGCACACCACATATCTTACTACAGCCAAGCTATTTTCTCATTGATGATGTAGGCAGCTTTTTTCCTCCGTGTTGAGTGAAACTCTGAGAAGTGACCTCATCTGAAGTCACAGAGGAAGTGACAAAGCCGAGCCAGTCTCAGTGGTGAGCCAATGGCAGGGCTTGGGAGCCAGCTCTCCATTGTAAGACCCTCTGGCTCCACCTCCCACCTTAGCAGACAGCCAGACCCTGCAAAGGGGAGTGGCCCTAGCCTAACCAGGGAGCATGGGATGGCTAGCCAGGGAGGAAGTGATGGGTTATTGTGGTCTTTGGTGAAGAAAGAAGAGCTCTGGGGAAAGTCTGGATCTAGTGTGCCAGACACAATTTGGTTCATCCTGCAGCTCAACTGTCTGTGGCTGCACTTGTCCTCATTAGTGGAGGGGACTCCCGCTCCATCGCTGCTACACAAGCTTCCTGTATACATACAAGTGCCTACTTTCCACTGCACCACTGCCACCACTGCCTCCCTCCCCGGCTCTCCCCAGCCCACTCACTGGAGCCTTTGGAAGCGCTCAAAACCAGCAGCGACATACTGTCCTCCATTCTGCAGATCTGCCAGGTCGGTGATGGGTTTGCCATCACGAGACGTGTAGAGGGCACGCACTGCCAGTGGCGCCCGCACGGCTGATGTCACTTCACAGAGGAAGGCCTCCATGGTGGGGAAGCGACGTCGGGTCACTACCAGCTGATGGCCAGGGGAGAAGGGGTCTCCATTCCGATACACCACTATCCTCTTGGCTGCTGGACTGCCACCTGCCATAGTGTGTTCTCAGAGACGCACATTTGTCGCCAGGCAACTAAGGCAGGGCCAGGAACAGTGCCAACAGGAGGCGGGGCCCGGTCCTGCCAGCCAAGAGGGCAGGGAGAGCCTGGCAGGTGCACATCCCTGTGAGCAGGGTTTACCCAGTCTTTCCTGGGTGGGGTTTCTCAAGAGCAGGAATGAGTATCCTGGGGCCTGGTGACATCCAGTGAGGATCACGCTTAAGTCCTGTGTCCTATTATCTGCAGTGCCTCAGGCCACTCTGAAGCTCAAGGGCAGAGACCAGAGACTAGGGGCCACGGCCAAGCAGGAAGGCTACATATGCTGGGGGTGGGAGGTGGGAATGGCTCCCAGCTGGCTCTTGTACAATAAGCCATGCCAATATGAAGATAACAGGAGGGCCCAGAGTCTTTCCCAGCAGAGGCAGACGATGACAACCAACCAGGCTCAGAATCCAAGAAAAACCTTTATTCTCCAACAATTTCCCTACTGCACTTCCCCTATAAGCCTCTTTATCCTGAAATGTGGTTGAACCCAGGCAGGGGACAAAGGGCTGTCCCTGGCCCTTGTCTCTCCTCTCTCTACCCCTGCCAACTCTGCTCCAGCTTCTCTTGGCCCCACTAGTCAGCCAATGGCCTGAGACAGGGCAGGATTCAGAGCTAGTGCCAGGGTGAGGTGTGGAGGGAGGGCAGGGGACAAGGCCCTGCACTGCTCACCCCTCTCCCAGCATCCTCCTCTGGGACTCGGGCCCCCCGGATCCCCAGGATTTAGCCCGCAGGTCCTGTCTTCCACTGCCCATTCCTCCATTGGTTCTCTCCGGTGTGGCTGGATCCTGTGGGAGGAAGGGTCTCGGGCAGCCGTGAGCACCAGAGGTGGCCACCAGGTGGCTACGGTGGCACTGCAGCTCCTGGAATTCAGGCGACCCATAGGGTGTCCCAGGGCACGTGGCTTCTGCAGAGGAAGCAATGGAGGGAAGCAATGGGCCCTGCAACTCCAGAGTACCTCACAGGTAGAAGGGAAAAGGCACAGGGTGTGGCCCATCTACCTCACCCCTGTGGCTTTCCCGACCTGGAGGCTGAGGCCCACACCGGGTCAGCCGTGAGCCTCTGGCTGCTGCACCCTTGGCCATCAGGATCTGTGGAGGCTCCATTCCTGGGGGTCTGGCTCTTGGCTGGCTTAGCTCTTCTGACATCCTTGCTTCCATATTCTGGCCCTGCTGGCGTCCTTTCCCAAAGGATGGGGTCCTCCGAGAGGCCCAATGCCTGAGGCTTGCCTGTTTGGCAGTCAGAGTCTTGGGGGTCCAGCCACTGGAGGCACTTGTCCTTCACGTCAGGGACCTCAAAGAGTTCACGCAGCTGGATCCTGGCCTTTCTGGAACAGGTTCCTCTAGGCTTGAGGACTGCTGTGGTCTGTTCCTCCAGGATTTGCCCCTGCTGCAGACAGCCCCCCTCCACGGCCTGTCCTCCTTGGCTTGGGTCCTTGGTGAGCCTGTGCCGTCTTGCTGGGCTGTGTGGGCCAGCACTCATGCAGCACGGTGCTCTGCTCTCGGCCTCAGCGCTGTTCTGGTCGGTAGCTACTGTACGCTCTGAGGATCTGCAGCTCTGAGACCTGCCCCCACGCTGGCAGGTGTCAGCCACGTGGCTTGGTTCTCTAGGGATCCTGACTTGGCAGGACTGCTTCTCTGGTGGCTGGGATGTCATCTGTCCACACGCCTGGCCCCCGGGATTGGAGCATGTCCTGGTCTGCTCTCTGGTCTGGTCCACCTCAGGGGAGCTCAAGGTTTGTTTGAGTATTAAGTACTGGTCAGGGAGAGAAGAGACTGACTGTACCATACAAGCCACGCAGCTCTCTCCTCAACCCCAACTCTTGGCACACACAGAATGGAGTCTGAGTCCATACCCACCTCCTTCCGGCTATTGATGGCTTGCTGAATCCACAGCAGCTCCATGGCCAGGTGGCTACGGTGGCACTGCAGCTCCTGGAATTCAGGTGACCCATGGGGTGTCCCAGGGCACGTGGCTTCTGCAGAGGAAGCAATAGGCCCTGCAACTCCAGAGTACTCCACAGGTGGAAGGGAAAAGGCACAGGGTGTGGCCCATCTACCTCACCCCTGTGGCTTTCCCGACCTGGAGGCTGAGGCCCACACCGGGTCAGAGGCTCCCCTCCATTAGACAGAGTGGTACCTGGGGTCTCCTCCCACAAGGTGTCTCTGGTCTGCCTTCCTTTGGGTTTCCGGCTCGGCTCAGCCTGTGGCCAGGAGTTGTCATCTCTGTCAGGAGGAGTAACAGAGCGCTCTCCTGCCTCCCCTTGCTCCTCCGCCCAGTTGGCCTTTCTCTCAGCTCTCGGTGGCACTGGCTTTGCAGTTGCGGCCCTTCCTCCTGCTCCCCTGTTCCCGTGGGGTTTCGCCTTCTGAGAAATTACAGGGGTTCGAGAGCCATCTGCTAGCCCGTCATGTGTCTGGGCACCGAGGAGGCGCTTGGCAGACGAAGAGCAGGGGTTGGGGAGCGAGAAGGGGCAACTGCGGCCCCTCCAGCACCCAGCATTTGCCAGCAGGAAGGGAGTGGATTATCAGGCCGTGAACATTCCCCTGCCCCTTTGTCGGGTCTCTCCCGCCTTTTCCATCTCCCCCGGGGGTGGCTTCTACCTGTGGGAGAAATTTGGGCCTTGGCATGCGGCCCTCAGTCCACTGAAGCGGGCCCAGGTCTCCCTCAATCTCTCCTACAATCGTCTCATACTCGGCTCGCAGCCTCTGGAATTGGCGTCGGACCAAGAAGCCCCGGACGCAGGCCTGGAGTGAAGAGCCAGGGGAAAAGACCCTCATCACCACGGGACGAGGATTCTCTTTGGGAGGTGGTCCCGGTGCCTCGAAGGGTGTGCGCTGGGGGCCCGGAGATTAAACAGGATGCGGGACTGGGAGGAGGTTATGCAGGCTGCGGCGGGGCCGGCGCTCCTAGGGTTTGACGTGTAGGCAGAGGGAAGTTTCCAGCCCGGGACCCCAGGTGCACTCCCGCCCACCCCGCACCTGTAACAGCGACACCTTCCGAAGTAACACCTCCCGCTCCATCAGGACTCCAACGGCCCAGCCAGCTTGCCCGAGCCCGCGCCGTGCGTCATTAGTCCGCGCCGCTCTTGCGCAGGCGCAGGCGCAGGGCCGCGCCCGCTGTCTCCACGGCAACTGTCGCTGGGTTCCTGTTAGACGAGGTGTCCTTGCCGGCGGCAGGTGCTCGGTGCTGGACTCCCACTCCCAGAGGCGCAAGGGGCTTCCCAGTCCCACCAGACCGAGACCTCCCAAACCACGGTATCTCGCAGGAGACCCCTTGGCAGGGGTGTCTCCGCGCAGGCTGAGGAGGCACACCAGGAGGACACGGAACCACTTGCTTTCTTGTTTTATTCCAGCTAAGACCCCCCTCTCCCATAGCACCTGGGGGGCCACGGGATACCCCACCCTGTATCCAAGCCCATAAAAAAAAAGTCACAGTTAGAAAGGAATGTGCGGAGTCTTCTGGGCCCCGGCTCTAGGCAGTAGCCTGCTCTTCAGGCTCAGCGTTCTCGGCTAGGTGCAGCTTCTGTCTGTGCCAGTCAAGGACTGTGATGCTGATGCTTGGGACCCCACACCTTCCTGCCCGTCCTGGAATCTGGACTGGTTTCCCCAGCTGTGCAAAGGGGCGAGGGCGACGGTCTCTCGGACCTGCTGTAGTCTGAGGCTGCAGCACCCTCTTGCCACATCATCCACAAGGTGCGCGGCAAGGGAGGGCTTGGGCCTGGGAACCAGCCTGCGGCTGGGGCTGTGCGTGTGGACACAGCACCGTTGGCAGACATCCTTGGTCTGTGCTGGTGAAGGGGCGGGCACCAGAGAAGCCTTGCGGTTTTCTATCTGGGTTTGTCCAGGTTTGCTACCTGCCCTCCACACCCGCCTGTCTCCTGATGTTTGGGAAACTACAGTCCTCTACCCAGGCTGGCTCTGAGTCAGGAGAACTGCCAGGATGGGGATGCCACTATGAACCAATGTTCAGGAGGATGGTGGGCAGGAGGCAACAGACCCCTCTGGTAGATCCACAGTGGAAAGGATACATGGAATTACTAAGATCTTCCAGCTGTCAAGAGAGACAGAAAAGGTCGTCAAACCCCGGGGCCCTTGGCGTCCCCTTCTGGTGGAAGGTGAGAGACCCCGGGTGCTCCAATTCACCAGCCAACCCAGCTTTCACCCAGAAACTAGCCATGGCCTTGGGGCATGGACCTCCCATAGCCCTGCTGTCCCCAGCACCCGGAGCCCCCAGCCAGGACCCACGTTGCTCAGTAACTGATCCAGGTTGCGGTCGGCCATCGTCTTCTTCTGCTCCTCAGGCAGCCCCTCATTGAGCCCATCTTCCTCGTCTTCATCCTCCTCCTCCTCCCCACACACATCAAGGCTGAAGTGCAGCCGCGCCAGCTTCTCCTGCATCTCCCGGACGTGCTCCAGTTGCTCGAAGGAGCATTCCTTTCCTGGACAGTGTCCGATCAGAGCCAGGTCTGGGAGTGAGCCAGCCAGGGAGCTCCCCACCCCCACCATTCTCAGCCCCCACGTCCCAGAGACTGGGCCCTGCGAGGACTCACCAAAGGCCTGCAGCCGGCCAGAGTGGAAATCATTGAGCAGGTTCAGCAGTCCCCCCTCCATCTCATACACATCTGTCACCTCAGTCAGGAAGGAGTGCTGCAGGGGTGTGCCAGCGGGGCCAGTCCCACCTCCAGCCAGCACTGGGCGGCATTTCTCCTTACCTACCCTGGGGTTGGGAGGACAGGACCAGGGTCACAGGAGGGAGGCAGTCAGGCACTCCCAGGTTTCCTGGGGCCATCTGTGTGCACCTCAGCCATCTGCCCATGCCCTTGGTCTTTCGGCTATGCCCTAGACAGCAGCAGTAGTAGAGGGAAAAGTTAAGAGGAAAGGAGAGATGAGGTCTAAAAAGAAACCTCCTCCTCTCCGAGTGACACTTGGAGCCACAGCCACACAGTGGACAAGTCCCTGGGTTTTGCTGAGCGTCTCACTCCTCCCGTGGCTGGGGACATACCTTGTCCTTCTCAGCCTTCAGTCCTTGTATTCGGTGATTCCTTTGTTGCCAACCATGCTATCTTATCTTTCTGCTCCTCCTCCATTTAAAAACTCCCCCGAATTTTACATGCCCTCCTGATGACAATACTAGCCTGCCCTGCTGCCTTTCAGTTGCGTGTCCTGCCACTTACTCCAGCCCTGGGCGTCAACCACGCCCCTCCTTGGCCGTGCTTCACTGTGCCACACAGGGAGGTAGAACACAAAATTTGGGGGACAGGGATTTCTAATGGACAAAGAACATGCTGTATCTAGTGGGAATAAACATGGAGATATCACAGAGTAAGATGCCAGTTCCTAAGGATTAAAGTAACTCAGGGGTGGGCTTTTAACACAGTGGTCAAGATACACGCTGGAATGTCCTTCACCCCTACTGGGGTACCTGGATTCAAGTCCCAGCTACGTTTCTGATTCTCACTTCTTGCTAATGTACATCTAAGAGGCTGCATGTACTTGGGGCTCTCACAGGGCACACCCAGATTAAGATCTGGGCTCCTGGTTTTGGCCTGGCCTACCTACCCCCAGCCATCGTGGGCATTTTGGGGGTAGCAGAAGGAAAAGTCTCTCTGCCTTTCAAATCAGTAAAAAAAAAAAAAAGGAAGGAAATTAAAAATTCAGCAGAATCTTCAAAATTTGCATCCAGGTATCCTTTCCCCGCTTCCTATCTCTTGATACTTCCTGGTCCCCACTTCTAGATGTTCCCAGAAACTTACAGGGAACAGCTCTCATCCGTATCAATGTCAGGTGAGCTTCTCCCATCCACGCTCCCCCTTCCCCACCACAGTGTGTCTAACAGTTGTCACCCACTCTCTGCTGAGCCGTAGCCTCCCACCCTGGCCTGTTTGCCACTGCCTAGAAGGCCAGGACTACACCTAACACTCTCCGGGTACTCAGGTCCCACTGGAGCCAGCCCCAGGGAAGGCCCCCATTATAGCTTCATCCCTAATGGCTCAGGCAGCCCTTGTCTTCCTCTCAACATTCAGTCCCAAAGTTCCTTTCTTCCTGCCCTCTTCCCTGTTGGACCTACCTCTTGAACTTGGCTCGCTGTTTGGGGGAAGGTAGATGTGGGAGGCCCAGGGCCAAGGGGCCGCTGTGGCTGGTGGGCCCCGGGACCCTGCGGAGTGTGCCTGAGGCCTGGGCAGGCTGGCTCAGGCAGGGTTTGGGGCTTCGTTTCTTCTTCTTGTCGTCCATTGTGGCCTGGGAGGGAAGCAAGCCCCCTGAAGCTGTGAGGGACACAGTTGTCCCTTTGCCCACCAACTGAGAAGGGCCTGGGACCTGGTCCCCACACAGATCCCCTGTCTGGGCGGCATGGGGTAGAGCCAGATGCTAGTGCCCGCTGCTATACTGAAAGGTTTTCCAAAGCCTTAACTTCCCTTTGCTGGGAAACCAGACCCTGCCCTGAAAGGCTGGACTGGACACTGTTGCCCCAGTGTTGCTGGGCTTTCCTGCCCTGGAGGCTGGCCGTGATAGGGGAGCCTGCAGAGGAAATGTGTGTGGTTGGGGGAGGGGCAGGGTGCATGAGGGCTAGCTGTATGCATGAGCTCCACTGGGCAGGTGCTTACTAGCCTGTGGCCATGGGAAGTGTCTCAGGCACTTGGGAAAGTCCCAGTGCCAGGTGGTAGCTCTTAGGTAATGATGGGTGGTTCAGGGGACAGGACTCATGGGGGGGATTCCACCACTTAGACACTGGCATCCCTCCTCATCGGCCCTACCTCACCCCAAAACACTAAGGACTCCCACAAATGGCCCAGGACAGGCTTCTAGTCAGTCCTTGGTCAGCTTCCCTGGAGCAAGCATGGGTTTGGGGGTCAGGGCAGGGCTGCCCAGGCCCTGTGACAATGGCCGCGTCTGTGGCTGGCACCGCTCAGCTGGCCTCCATCCAGTGTGGCTACCTAGGTCCGTCCCCGCCTCTTCAGGGTCTCCCGCCATGTTGCTGCCACCAAGCCCAACTCCACATTCTGGGGTGGTGGCAGCAGTGGGGCATAAGCACTAAAATTGCCACCCAGCCAGCTGGCGCGGGGAGCGGCCCTCCCCCAAGCAGCAGCCTGGCCCAATCAGGGACTTGGTAGAACTGGAGCCGGAGCCTGGGTTTGCTGGGAGCTGCTGGGGCAACGCAGGATGGATTTCCCACGGTCGGTCTCCAAAGCCATGCGCCAAATAGACACGAGCTCCGGAGCCGAGCTCCGTGGGAGCGTCCGATGCGTCACTCGATTCTTTCTTCCCCAATCCCCTCAGCCCCGGGGCTCCCTCAGCACAGGGAACTGACCTGCAGGTTTGGAGTCTGAGCGATGCTGCTGTTCAAGTTCCCTCCGCCTTCCGTTCTCAGAGCTGGCAACCCAAACAGTGAAAGCTAAGCTGGCGGGAGATAATTTGCATTTAAAGAGAAAGTGACCTTCTTTGTGGCTAGGAATGGAGTAAAATGGGAGGAGCCTCCCGCCGTTACTAATCTGTTCCCTCACCAGACCTCCTGCCAAGTTTAGTTGATCCTGTTGGCTGTGTGATGTTAGTAGTATTTCCCTTTTCCTGTCAGTGTGGGAGAGAAGGTACAACCCCTTACAAAATAGTGCTGGCTTTGTCAGAAGTAGCAGAGGAGGAAAAGAGTATGTGTAAAAAGCACCAGTGAGAGGAACCTGAAAGGGGAGGTGTTTAATCCTTGTAACAGCCGGAAGGAAGGCGTCGTCACAGTCACGGTCTCCATTTTATTATAGGTAAACAGCCTTCCGAGGGCACTGCCACTCCACACCCAGACCCTCTGGGCCGGTGAGGGCTGTACCTCACAGCTGCTGATGAGGTGATCAGACAGACCACTCCCACACCTCCGGGCTTGAGATGCCTGTGGTAAGTTAGTGGTGGCACCAACGCCAGCCCTGAACGTCCAGAGGCTGACCCGGCCAGCCTGTGCCCAACCACGGGGCAGCTATTTCAAGCACCGGTGAAGGCTCCCAGCCCAGGTCCCCATGTTGGCATCAGATGTCCTAGGAGAGGCTCATCCTTGGCCAGGATGGTGAGCAGCCTGGAATTAACCGGACCAGGGCATACCCACACCGCATGCCCACCGCCTGGCAGGAGCAGCCCCCCCCCCCAGAGACACTGTTTTTGCAGGTGCTTCCAACACGCAGAGATAGAAATTCAAGGCTTCTCCCAAAAGCAGGAAGCTGGGGAGGAAAAGCCACAGGAAATAGCCTGCCTCCCTCCTGGGGCTGCTGGAGCACAGGGCTGGACCCCTCCTCCAATAGGCGGCAGATGGGCAGAATACCAGGTCTGGGGCACTGGCCCTCACGCCTCCCTAGGGAGGCAGAAGCTCTCAAGTTATTCTGAGTTGCTTTGTTTAGAAGCTTCAGAACTTGGCACAGTAAGAGCTGGGGGAGTCTGCATCCCAGTGACTGAGTGTATTCCAACTTCCCTCTACAATGCATTCTGGGAGGCAGCAAAGGATGGCTCCAGTGCTTGGTGCCCTGCCACCCACATGGGAGACCTGGATTGAATTTTGAGCTCCTAGGTTTGGCCTGGTCCACCCTTGGCTGTTATTAGCAAAGTATTTCTCTGCATCTCTGTCTTCCCAATGAAAATAAAGCTCAAAGCTGACAGAACCTTCTGGAGATGTGTGACAGGAACTCATGTGGTGGGCACACGCTTAGCCCATAAGGCCCTGGACAGACAGCTGGTCTGAGGATGTCCCTCAGCCAGCATGCAGAGGCCAAATGTAAAGGGCACCAGGATTACTGCTAGCATTCGTCAACAGTTCCCAGGTCCCAGCTTTTGCTGGATACTTGAGCCACATCTGCTTCCAGGGCCTGCATTAGCAGGAAGCTGGAGTGAAGGATCCGAGCCAAGTATGGGACCTAACCTACAGGCTAGACATTCACTCACCAGTTTTCTTTTAAAGATTTATTACTTTATTTGAAAACAAAGAGGAATACAAGACACAGTTCCTGCATCTGCTGCCTGACTCCAGAGATAGCCACAGTGGTCAGCAGTGAGCCAAGGCAAAGCCAGGAGCTTCATCCGGGTCTGCACGTGGGTGGCGGGGGGTCCAAACACTTGGGTCATTTCAAGCTGCTTTTCCCAGGCTGTTAACAGGGAGCTGCATCGAAGTGGAGCAGCTGGAACCTGAGTGATCACCCAGAGGGAAAGCCTGCATTTTTATCTACTATGCCATGCCCACTTTCCTGATCTTACAGCACTTTGATCTTCCTTAGCCTGTGAGTCCCAATTTTTTTTTTTTTGAGTGGAAGAAATGGTCTCTGAAGAGCCTTGTTATAAGTTCCACTCAGGTGGCTAAAACCTGCCAGCTGCAGACAGGCAGTCTGAATCAGACACAAGGCGCCAGGTTGTCAAGTTGGTCATGACAGAAGGGACTAGATGGATCCAGAAGCATGAAAACGAGTAAGGCAACAGACTCTTTAATGTGATTTAAAATACATCAAAATCAAGTCCCTGGCTGTTGTGAATACAAAAAAAAAAAAAAAAAAAAAAAAAAAAGCCATCAGCACAGTTTCAAACAATTTAGATGGCCAGGCTGCCCAGGCAGGTACCTGGATGTCCCTGGGGCAGCCACCTCAAGAACATCCAGGACAGGAGGGCTGGCACAGCTCCACTGGCCTCTGGGTCAGCCTTTGGTGGCCACCTGGTGGGGGTGGATTAAATAAGTGTCTTTATCGAAATAACATTCTCATACAGAAAGTGCCTGAGCTAAGCCCATGGTCCAAAAACCTCATGGAGAACAAATAATAAACCCAAGTGTGACTGACACCACTGAATCTGGTGCACACGAAGCACTCTGCTGGACAAGTTCCGGAACACGAGTTCCTGCTGGCAGAGCCAAGGGCTAGGGACCCTGAGCCTTATCTGCTGCGGTCCCCTGGAGGAAATGTTACAGCTAAGAAATCAGCACAGCTCTTGGTCCTAAAACTGGGAGTGGAGGGGGATTCCAGGGTGCTGAGGGGTACAGGCTTTCAACTCAAGGGTGGGCCACTTCCCTTGCCTCTGGGCCTGGATGCGTGGGCTGACTTTGGAAAGCAAGGGCATACACAGCCGCTATAGAGATGGGTGGGATTTGGTCAATGGAGCCAAAGAGGAGAGGGACTCCCATCTGCAGGCCAGCCAGTATGTCCAAACATGGCTCTGCCCTGCCTGGGGCCCACGTTCCTGAGCTGGGAAGACTGCCTAGAGCCATTTGCCCCGTGGCCTCCCATCCTGCCATCCTAGAATGCAATAGCTCCACCCTCTGGGCTTTACGAGGTAGCTTTAGTGTGGCAGGCCATCATGGAGGCTGCCGTGGGCCACTATGCTTTCTTTAAGAGCACAGGCAGTGACCTGCCTCCTCCCCGAATCCACAGCCTGGTCAAAGCTTTCATGGGGTTGGCGGTTCTTGAACCTCAGCCTGGCACTGGGGATGGGGGAGGGGAAGGTCTCACCAGACAGTAACAGGGAGACAGCAACCACTCAGAAAAAAAAAAGATCTTGGGCAAACACTCAAGTGGGGAGGGGGGAGTGGCGCCCTAGCCAAGGTTGGCACCAAGACTCCCCGCTTGCACTGAGGCTGGGGTATTTTGAGAAGCATTACGATATGCCAGTGATTAGCAAGGAAGGGTTCTGCCACTGGGGCAGGAGGCAATGGTGTACCACTTGTCTCCACTCAAGGAGTGCTGAGGGATGTTAGGACCCCCTTACGTGGGAAGCCTAAGTTAGGGTCTGAGGGCAGACTAACCTTAGAAAGTGAATGGAGAGAACAATGAACCAGCATCAAAGAAACACAGCAGGAAGCAAACCCCAAGCACTGGACCCAGGTCCTGGTGCAGCAGAGCCTTCCTCCCCAAGCTGATGCTCATCCCCGTCAGCATGTCGTGCACAGCAGTGTGACCTGGAGGCCACTTGCAGCCACAGTGCAGTGGCCTGTCAAGCAGCAGGGACTCCGGCCCGGGAAGAGCACGACTCTCACAGAGGGCTATTCCTTAGGCAGAGGTGCCAGGCATGGGAACCAGGAAGCCTCAAGGATTGCAGTCAGATAGACTGGGGTACAGGAAGCAAAGATGGACGCTCCCAAAGCAGAGGAGCAGTTGGCCCTGGGCACTGCATAGTGCTGCAGGGGGAGGCCAGTGATGGGAATCGGTTTGGTCTCCCAAGATAGAAGCCCATAGACAAGCTTGCAGAAAAGCCATTGGAGGCCTCTTTGAACAATCTGATCTCACCAAACAGAAACCTCAGCACCATCATGGCAGAGAGGGACGGGGAGGGGTGTGGGACACTGGAAGCCAGGCACCCAGGGACCACTGCTACAGCACCCCTCTTCCTTCCTTCAAGGCTCCTCAATAGAAACCGTCATGTGCAATGAAATGAAACAAAATTAAAACGCCTTCAGAAAGAATCCTTTGGATGATCTCATCACTCCTTTGTGCAGGCTGGAGAGGCACCTGTGAATGGTAAGGCTACTGAGAAGCATCGTCGGCCTGGTCCTGGCAATCCCAGCGGGCAGGGGAAGCAGTGCCCTAGGGTTTGCCAACCAGCAACCAGTGATCCCACCACACACATTCTCGTCCTTTCTCCAAGGCAGGAAAGCAGCTCATCCCCAGCTCCAGTTGCCTGCCATGGGGACGTTTCTCTGAGTCAGGCCAGCCAGGGAGCCCAGCCGCCCCAGCCCTATCTGGCTCAGAGAGAAGTGCAGGCAGCGGCCGGCTATGTGTCATCAGTTACGAGCTTTAGACAGCTGAGGGGTCTCAGCCTTGAAGCAGGCAGGGCAGTGCTTGAGGAACTTGTCCTGCCAGCTCATGGTGATGACAGCTGCAGATGGCACCTCCTCGGGAGAACTCTTTAGCTCACCAGGGAGCTGCTGGCTTCATCTGTCCACATCGTCATCTACAATGCAAGTCCACGGCACACTTTCAGACATAAGTGCAAGAGGCCCTGCATGTGTGCCAAATGTATGTAAAACTGACCCACAAAAATCCCAAGCTGCAAAGGGTCAGATGCCATCTGGGTCAGGTATCAGCCAGGCCAGGCCAGTGTGGCCTGAGTACTGACGTGATAAGGTGGGAGCCATGGATGGACCAGGCCGGGCTGGGCTGCCTGCTCCCCTTCCAGCATGCCCCAAGCACCATGCCCTCTAGGCGGTGGTAGAGGTGGGCTCCTGGGGCACTGTTTGGCCTGATGCTTCTGTGCTTGGTACTCCTGTGCAGCAAGGAGCTTCTGTGGCCCTTTGGGAGGTGGGTACTTGCGCCCCAGGCACCTCAGCCCCCTGCTCCTTGGAGGTGGTGGCTGCTTCCAGCCTCCGCTCAGGACCGCTGTCACCGAGGGGGACCTGGCCACTGGCGCTCAGGTCCTGCACCCTCTTGTTGAGGTCATTGCGCTCTGTCTGTAGGGCCCGGCACAGCTTCTCTAGCCGCTGGATTTTCACCTGCAGGCCTTCCAGCTCTTTGTCGCGGAGGGTTTTCTAGGAGAAAAGGGTTCTCAGTGCCATCCTGTCAAACTCCTCCCTCAGCATACCACCTGGCAGCAAACACCTCAACATGTCTGGAAGCAGACCAGAGTCCAAAGAGCCCCTTCTAGTAGAGTGGAGTTGATGCCACCACTTAGCTGGCAGCAATGAAGTGCAGGGAAGGGATGTGGCCTGCACAGCAGACAATGTGTTCCAGATGACCTTGGCAAGTCCTTGGCTTTGGGGCCTATCTCATCTGTGGAACAGGACTGCTAACACCAAGCTCCAGTCTCAGGAGAGTACTCAATGGACTGGCCTATCCACAACATCTAGCAAGGTCTGGCCTGCAGCTGTTACTCCAGTGTCACTTTCTTTCCTCCACACTGTCAGCCACAAAAATTACAAACTATTATGGGCTGCCTTGCCTGCAAACCATGCCTTTCTTGACCCCAGCCAGACCCTCCCCGGCTGTGTCCTGCCTTTTTCATTCCTGTCTTCCATTGGATCACCTCACTTCCTCTGCACGTCTCCCATGGGGGGATGACCGGCACTGCCGCTGCTTGGGTCCCAGCTCCACTCTGTCACCAACTGGCAAAGTACACAGGAAGGGGCCCGCTGTGTACTAACTGCACATACAGACCCTGCCTGTAGTTCTTGGAGGACCCACCTCCTCAGCCATCTCAAGCAGGGCCTTGTTGCTGCTCTCCCACCGGGACCGGTACATGGTGGTCTCTTTCTCCAGCTTCTTGATCTTCTTAGTCATCTGCGTCAGGGGAACAGATGAGAATAATCAGATGGGCTGACAGCACAACCACAGTTCTGAAGCAGGGAGTAACTCCAACAGATCCAGGTAATGCCACGTAAGTTGCCTCCTCACCCGGAAGTCTCAAGTGTCTGTCATCAATAACTAGAAATGGTCAGATCTGGGGCTGGCATTGTGGCATAGCAAGTTAAGCCACTGCTTGAAAGGCTGGCATCCCATACATGGCACTGGCATGAGTCGCAGCTGCTCCAGTTTTGATTCAGCTTCCTGCTAACCCCCCCAGGGAAAGCAGTGAGGTGGCCCAAGTGCTTAAACCCCTGTCACGTACATGGGATACTTGGATGAAATCTCAGGTTCCTGGGCCCAGTGTGGTAATCTAGTAGCTAAATTCATCACTTTATATCTGACTATAAAAATAAAAAATAGGGCCTGGCGTGGTGGCCTTGGAACTAATGTCCTTGCCTTGAACATACTATGATCCCACATGGGCACTGGTTCTAATCTTGGCAGCTCTGCTTCCCATCCAGTGGGAGCTCATACTGCTCCTGCTTGTGGCCTGGGAAAGCAGTCGAGGATGGCCCAAAGCCTTGGGACTGTGCACCCGCATGGAAGACCTGGAAGAGCTCTTGGCTCCTGGCTTCAGCTTGACACAGTTCTGGCCACTGCAGCCTCTTGGGAAGTGAACCATGAGACGGATCTTCCTCTCTGTCTCCTCCTCTCTGACTTTCCAATAAGAATAGATAAATATTTAAATAAAATAAAAACAGTAAATAAATCATAAAAAAAAAAGCAAGCAAGCAAGCAAAATAAATCTCAGGTTCCTGGCTCTGCAGCTTGGCCCAGTCCTGGCTGTTACAGCCATTTGGGAAGTGAACCAGCAAATAGAAGATCTCTCACTCTGCAATTCTGCCTTTCAAATAAAACAAACGTTGAAACAAACAAACTGGAACCCTGATCCTACCAGAGGAAGGAAGGGGGCTGGGTACAGGGTGAAGGTAAAGAGGAACCGCTGGACGTGGGCAGAACCAGGAGGGTGTGCATGGAGAAAGGCTCTGGTGTCCGTCCATCACGGTGTTGTGCACAGCTCCTGAGACCTGGGTGGGGCTTCCGGAAGGCGGGGGCAGGGTTTCATTGTGATGATGCAGCCTGAGCCCTAGGAGCCACACCTAGCCAGGAGCTCAGTTACCTTTTCCATCTCCTGTTTGAATGTGGTGAACACCTCACTGCTCTTGGAAAGAGTGTTCTGGAACTCCTCAAATTTCTCTGTGTATAGGGCAAGCTGTGTGAGAAAATCAGAAGAAAGAAGTAAGACTTCTTTGGAAGACATTTCGGTCCACACAATCAAGACACTCCTGGGAACTTTAGGTTCAACAATTCCACTGTGATCCACTTTCCTTAAGACTAAACCAGACCAAAAAACCAAACAATATCGAAGAAAACAGACCATATGTCTGGAGGGATGTTAAAGTGCAAACCCTGAAAAGGAGGATTTGCTTTTTGTATTTCTATTTTGGTTTTGTATTTATCTTTAAGCTTTTCTTCCCAAATCAGTAAAATGCATGTCATTAGAAACATCTGCTCTGTCCCCATGTCCTCAAACTCCACAAGGCCTCAGAACATGGAAGGAAGGCCCTTCGCTCTCCTCATCACCTGGTCCCCACCACACAGTGCTGGGCAAGTCTAGCAAGAACAGACTCAGCCCAGGGCAAGGACAGTCGGTGCAGAGCTGGTCCTGCAATAAGGGTTCCACTGGTCACCCGCTCACCTATCCTCTAGCCTTGGAGGGTCAGGATCAGGGTGCCCTGCCTTACCTGCTGCTTCAGGTGTGTCTCCTGCTGCTTCATCAGCTCACACATCCTCTGCGACTCCACTGCTTCTTTCAGGAGCTATTTCCAAGACAGGAGCCCAGACCCTGTCAGAAGCCCCAAAGGGCTTTGTTGGGCCTTATTAAACCACAAGCCCTGGACCCACTGAGGCTTCCCCCTCAAACTTAGGTCTTCGGGAGCAGAGCCTGGTCTGGCCAGCGAACAGCCTCTCCCAATTCAGATCTGACTTTGAGCCAAGCCAGAACCCAGCCCATCTTCTGCCCCTCCCTCCCAGGCCTGGGGCCCGAGCCTCACAAAGTCCTTCTCCCGCTGGTGCCGCTCCTCTGCCTCCTTCAGCATCTCCTGGGCCTGCTGGAGCTTGGCATCCACCAGCTGATGCTGCAAATCCTTGTGTTTGAAGACTTTGTCAATATGCTGTGGCAAAGATGACAGAGGGGCCACCTCATCAGTTGAAGCCCAGCCTTCCAACTCCATTGGACATGCTGGACCCTCACATTACACCACAGGCGATGGACTTTGACTCCCTGCACTTCCTTCCTCACCCAGAGTCAATCACAGGAGTTGATGGATGCAATCAGATCCTGGGAAGCCATGCAGTAGATCCACCGAAACCTTTGGCCCCATGGCCTATCTCCTGTGTGTCTGGCAGCCTTCATTTTGTGGTCCCTGACTGCCTACCAAACACAGGAAGAAAGGGCCCAGATGATGCCTCTACAGACACAATGCTCTTACTCAGGTGGCCAGGATGCCTGAACTATGGGCACAAACTGGACACTTGCAGCCTACGGAATGGCTGTCGTGTCTGCTGGGAATCTGAACCAGGTGAGCATGTCAGTGCCACTTCAAGGATGAAACCACAGAATTACCTTTGGCTAAGGCTTAGGAGATTCTGATTTACTTTTTGAATAGCAAGAGAAAAGGATCCAAGTACAAATATGCCACATTCCAGTACCCTGTGATGCAAGGCTGAGTCTTGGAAGGGGTTGGATGGGGGCACCGGAAAACACTGGCAGGGGTTAGGGTGCGGTACAGAGGAGGCTGCAGAACTTGGCACAGCTGTCTTCCCCCCACCCCCAGGCAGCACCAAGGCCCTGCCGTCGCTTCAGGAAGAGCAAGGATCCTCAGATTCTTGGAGTTAGTGCCACACTCTTGGGGGCCCAGGAAGCCTCTACATCCCATTGCTTGGGGTTAAGACCCAAAGAGTAAGTTTCCTTAACACAGATGTGTCATAAGCAGCCTTGTCACACAGGATGGAGCGCAGATGGAAGGAGTGACTCAGGGAGTTTCCTACAGGTCCTGAACACACACTGCCACAGTGGCCTGTGGGGCCAAGAGGGCACACCCAGAGCAGGCCTCGATCTGACTTGTAACATTGATGCTTCTCTGGTGGAAGAAACAATGACCCAGGACAGCCAAATGACAACAGGCAAGGGGCATGCTAAGCCTGAAGAGCCCTTCCAAGTGACAGGAACAGCAGAGCAGCAAGGGCTCCTAGAGTGGACTCTGGAGGCCATCATGGCCCAGGGTCCAGTTCCTACACTGTAATTCCAAACTGAAAATTGTAATGATGCTAAGCTGGGAGCCAAGCTTGACCTGTACCATTATCATAAAGCCATATGACATCTAGATGAGCACCTAGAAACCTCACTGCCATAAATAGCATCGTCTCTGACCTGGGAGGGTTGCCCCAAGGCCCGACTCTGCTGGGAGTGCACAGATACATGTCTACTCCAACATCTGGGGAGCTTTAATTCCAATACACATTCAGCCCAGGTGTTTAGGACCTGGGGCTAAAGTCCCTGTCCCTCCACCCCACCCCAGCTCCTCCTCCAGGAAGACCGACATTACATTCCCCTCCAAAGATAGAACAGGCAGAGCGATACAAGCTCGAAAGTGTGGTCCTGGCACCCAGCACGCACTGGAAACTCACAATCTCTCACCCTCATTTCTGTGTAGGGCAGCCTCACCTCTTCTCGTAGCTCATACTGCTCAATCAGCTTCTTGAGCCGCTCGGCCAGCTCCATGTTTTCCTGGCGCAACTTGGAGTTGCGCTCATTGTGCTGCTCCATCTGGAGCTGGATGTCATTGAGGGTCATTTGAAAGTGTGAAGTCACCTCCTTGCGCTTCTCCTCCTCCTCTCGGGCTCGCTGCATACCTTCTTCCTGGGCACAGAAGTCAGCCCCGAGCATCATCATCCACCGCTCCCCAGCCAGCCTTGCAAAGTGCACACGTTTTTTTTTGTTTGTTTTTGTTTTGTTTTGTTTCGTTTTTTGCCTACAGCACCCGTACTCCTACAGTGAGGAACCAGGCAATACAGTGTTGTGCAGTGGGCTGCCTCTGTGTGTTGGGCAACATCAAGTGAGAGCCCCTAGAAACGTAGGCACACAAGTAAAAGCCATTCTGACCTAATCCAGATCTCCTGAAGCCAATTCTTCCAGATTTAAGGATAAGTATTCTTCCTTTTTAGTGTTTACTTTTGGTTTTCATCTACGTCAAAGACAGAGGAAGACACTGATCTTCTATCTGTTTTGTGTGGGTCCCCAAACAGGCACACAGCCATGGCTGGGCCGGGTGAAAGCCAGGGGCAAAGAACTCCACCTGAGTCTGGGAAAGCAGTGGAGGACAGCCCAAAGCCTTGGGACCCTGCACCTGCATGGGAAACCTGGAGGGAGTTCCTGGCTCCTGGCTTTGGATTGGCGCAGCACTGGCCGTTGCGGTCACTTGGGGAGTGGAAAATCTTCCTGTCTCTCCTCCTCTCTGTATATCTGGCTTTGTAATAAAAATAAGTAAATCTTAAAAAGAAAAAAAAAAAAAAACAAAACAGATGCTGCTTGGGACACCTGCACTCCTAATCAGAGTGCCTGAGTTCTAGTCCTGGTTCCACTCTCCATTTCAGCTTCCTGCTAATGCACACCCTGGGAGGCAGCAGGTGCTTCCCAACCTTGGGGACCTGAATGGAATCCCGGGCTCCTGCTTTGGTCTTACTCAGCTGTGGCTATTGCAGGCATCTGGGAAGCGAACTGGTTAGTGCGAGCTTTCTCTCTTTCAAGTAAAGCTTCGGTATATCTAGGCCAGGGCATCCTGAGTTCCCTCAGCAGCTCTGGCCTTCACTTCCACACAGTGTCAAAGGGTTCCATCTGTCAGAAGGCAGGGCATCACAGGGAAAAGTACTGTCATGCCAAACGCCTGTACTGCTTTCTAAGGAGCAAGCCTACCAAACACAAGCGGAAGCTGAGAAGCCTGAGAGGCCTGTCCCAGGGAACGGGCGGCTTACCTTGAGGGAGCGGTTGTGCCGCTGCAGCTCCCGGCACAGGCTCTCGAGCTTGCTGCGTGCCAGGACGGCCTTGCTGTGCTCACCGCGCAGGTGGTCCTTCTCCTGCACCAGCTGGCTCTGCTTCTTCTGCAGGAGCTTCATCTGCTTCTGTGAGTTCCGGTGCTCCTCGAGCTGCGGACAGCAGGGCAGGAGTGCCAGTGGGGTCCTCTTCACGGCTCCAGGTGCAGCTGAGCTACACCCTCTGCACAGCCCTCTCCTGACTCCCCCTCAACTGCAGCAACAGCAGTTCAGGACAAAGGCATTCTCCCAGGCCTCCTGTGGCTCGTGCTTTACACACCTCCACTCCCCCTTAACTCTGACGGCCCCACCTTAGGGACAAATGGACACCCTCTAGGACAAGTATGGGTTGTACGGGTAGCAGATCTCAGCCCAAGACAGCATGGCCCCAACTCTCGACACTCCTTTCCTAGGATGAGGCTTTGGGATGTTATCAGACCCCATCACCCCGCAGGACTCTGGTACTGGTTCATCTCCGATCTCTCTAACACAACAGCTACCGTCTTTTTGGCCATGTCTGAGTAGACATGTGCTCCTGACTTGCTGGCCTCCTCCAGCTCCGCTCCGCTCCCATGATCCTAGTCAGCCCTGTACAGAACACAGTGCAGCCAACACACGTAATGTGGTGGCCATACCACACTAAACATGGATGAAAATATTAAAACATATTTAATGTAGTACACACACTGACAATTTTAATATTCTTTTATCTCAGGTCTCTGAAACTTGATGCGTCTCTTACATTTACAGAATATCCTAATTCACACTACCCACTCTCGGTCCACAAGCTACAGCCCACTGTCTTGGACAGTACAGGTTTCGATTTTGTCATTAGAACAAATTGCACCCCCTTATCTCATCTTCCAGCAGCCCAATCAGGTCCACCTCCACTGCTTTTCAGCTCATTCCCACTGCTTCTGAGGTTCCCAGAAAGTCCTACTCTGCTGGACCTCCAACTTGCTGACCTTACCACCCTTTCACTTCCGTCCAGCTCTTTTTCAGAACTCCATCTGGGTCTCCAACATGGATGCAAGGATCCAAGCACTTGGGCATTCTGTGCTTTCCCAGGAACATTAGCAGGCAGCTGGGTTAGAACCTAAGCAGCCGGGTTTCAACTGGCACTTAGCATGGGATCTGATGTTCTGTTTTCCAATACACACCAGCTGGGAGCTGGATCACAAAGTAGCCAGGATTCCAACCAGCCTTGGAAACTGGGACGCAGGCAGCTTGGAAAGCAGGTTAATGCGCTGTACCACAGCACCTGTCCCTCAGTATTCTTATTTTAATGCACTTTTATCTTACCTGTGCCCCTACAGACCAAGTTGTTACCATCTAGTAATACCTACGATTGGCAAAGCTGTGTCCCCTTGCTGAAAAATAATTTGGCAGGCCTGGTACAGTAGCCTAGTGGCTAAAGTCCTTACCCTGCACGTGCCAGGATCCCATAACAGCGCTGGTTCTAATCCCAGTGGCCCCACTTCCCATCCAGCTCCCTGCTTGTGGCCTGGGAAAGCAGTTGAGGATGGCCCAAAGCCTTGGGACCCTGTACCCGCATGGGAGACCTGGAAAAAGCTTCCAGATCCTTATTGGCGCAGCTCCAGCCATTGCAGGCACTTAGGGAGTAAATCATCAGATGGAAGATCTTCTCTCTGTCCTCCTCTCTGTATATCTGACTTTCCAATAAAAATAAATAAATCTTAAAAAAAATCTGCATATCATGATCTGGCCATTTTATTTTTGGGATTTATCGTATAAATTCTATACAACTGGATAGACAGTGGCTTAACCCACTGGGCCAGAGCACTGGTCCTGGTTTACATTTCTTAGGCCCTCAACTCGCTTGGTCCTTCCTCAGCCCTGGTCAGGCCTCCTGCTCAGCACCAGCAGCAGAACAGTCCTGCTATAACTCTTGCTTTAAATTCAAGACCTCATCTGCCCAGAAGCCCAGCTCCATTTCTCATGCTGGCCACACTTCGTTTCTAGACAACTCTTTTGTCCTCCTTCTCACACACCTCCCCACCCCAGCTAAGCCCATCTTTCCAATTTCTCTGGAAACAGAAGACACCAGAGGAGCAGAGGCCCGAGTTCCACTTCTGTCAGTCCCCCAGCACCTGTCCTCACACACACTAAACTGTGCTAACACTGCAGCCATGCCCTGACCTTGTGTGTGGGCCCTCAGCTTCCTGAGTTTACTCAGCACTTCATCCAGATCTTGTACCAGCAGCTAGTACAGGTCATTCTAAAAGACTGGTTTACTTTTTTTCAGGACTTCTCCTTATTTAAGCTTTACCAAAAATCCCATTAGGCAGGTAGAATTTTCCCCCATTTTATAGGTTAGAAAAGGTCCTCATAGGAGATTAACAGCTACTATATTTAAACAAAACAGTTTTAAATAACTAGGTACCAACCATCAATAGATTGATCTTTTCAGATTTTGACAAGGAACTGACAAGGGAGGACGTGGAATGTCACGTCCTTGAGCATGACTACAGTGCTAACACTGCCAAATCTCATGATTCTTGTGATGCAACATGGAGTAGGGTATGAGCCATGAGGGATTTTTGCCAAAATCATTGGGCCTGAACTGGGTCAAGTTTCTAGAACTGACTTCCACTTTACTAACAGGAACTAATGACACAATGAGACAAGTTAAATGTTACCACAAAGGAGACAAAGATAGGAGTGGGACAGCACACAGAGCCACCCAAGGCTTCTGGAACAAGACTAACACCACGACGAGGGGGTGGGGTGGGCAAAAACGAGAGGAACTGCTCTGTGGTACAAGGAGAATAGTCAAAGGCAGGCAGCTCCCACCTCAGATACTGGAGCACCTGATGCTACTCCCTGCTAATGTGCATCCTGGGAGGCAGCTCAGGTGTCACCAGACCTGGATGGAGTTTTGGCTTCAGGCTGGCCCTGTCCCGGCTGCTGTGGGAATCTGGGGGAGTGGAACCAGTGGATGAAGTTCTCTCTTTGCCTTCCCAGTGGATGAAAAATCAAACATTAAACAAGGGGTCAGCACTGTGGCACAGCAAGCCAAGCCACTGACTGCTACACTTACATCCCATACTGAGTATGTGTTGCTTCCAGTCTAGCTTCCAGCTGATGCCACCTAAAGGCAGCAGGGGATGGCCCACAAAGTTCCCTTGTCAGCTCCCTTAGTTTAGCTCTCCCTTTCACCTTTGTGGAAAAATCCACAGAGCTCTGAACTAATGGATTCCGCCCAACCCAGACCAGGCTGCTGCAGCCACGATGGGAGTGGGGGAGGGGTTGGGGAGGGAGGGAGAATGAATGTGAATCTGTATCTCTTCCCTTCTGCCTTTCAAAAAAATTTCGAGAGCCAAGTGTGGTAGCCTAGTGGCTAAAGTTTTAATCCTGGTGGCCTCACTTCCCATCCAGCTCCCTGCTTGTGGCCTGGGAAAGCAGTCGAGGATGGCCCAATACTTTGGGACTCTGCACCTGTGTGGGAGACCCTGAGGAAGCTCTGGGCTCCAGGCTTCAGACTGGCTCAGCTCCAGCCGTTGCTGTCATTTGGGGAGTGAAATCACTGGATGGCAGTTCTTCCTCTCTGTCTCTCCTCCTCTCTGTATATCTACCTTTCCAATAAAAATAAATCTTTAAAAATATATAAACAGAATGATCAGGTGACAAAGTTTTTGTCCAGTGTGGTAACAACAGTGTTGGGTACTCTGCACTCTGGGGAGACACATACAGAGGTCCACATGGCTAGATCCCATGGTGGCCGGGGGCTCTACTACCTGGGGAACCACTTCGAGAAATTTCATTCAAGGAACGTGCAGCTTTCCTTCCCTCTGTCAGTCAGGAAGAGACTAGCTGGGAAGTGACTGCCTGTTTACCACATAAACAAAGGTGCAAGCAGAATGAAGCCCCCCACCTGCCCACCCCTATGCCAAGTGGCCCGCTGGTTGTCCAAAGGCAAGGAGGGTGCCAGGGCCTTGGAGGGACTGACCAGTTCAGCATATTTCTTGCACAACGCTGCCAGCTTCTCCTCCGGGGTGCTCAGGGTGTTCAACGTCTGCATCAACAGCGTGATCTCCTTTCCTGCAGAGCAAGGCACTCCATGTACTTCCTGCCTGGAGCCCCTGGGGCCGGGCTCCACACTTGCACAATAAGGAAGCCCTCCCCTGGGGTAACTTACTTGCTCCTCAAACCTTAACTTATTTGCTCCTTGAACTGCCTGCCTCATTGTTACCTTCTGTGAAGAGTCCTGTGGAGCAGCACAGCCCAGGGCTGCCCACAGAGCCATCAATCAGAGCACATGCTCAACCAACACTTATCAAATGAAGAAACAAAATTCTCAGAACTTGCTTTGTGGGGGAAAATCATCTGCCCTCTAGACAGACAAAAGATATCCCATTTGTATGTTAATCCATTTCAATGCAAAGTAGGGCCTTCCAACAGAAGAAGCCAAAAGGTAAGTCCCCTGCCTCCCTGAGACACAGAGGCCCATTACCAGAGGTGGCCAAACACAGAATCTCAAGATCAAAAGACCTTCCATATGTGAGCCTATGATTTCTAAAACGTGTCCTCCTTGGGCCCGGCCACGTGGCCTAGCGGCTGAAGTCCTCGCCTTGAACGTGCTGGGAACCCATATGGGCGCCGGTTCTAATCCCTGCAGCTCCACTTCCCATCCAGCTCCCTGCTTGTGGCATGGGAAAGCAGTCGAGGACGGCCCAAAGCTTTGGGACCCTGCACCCACATGGGATACCCAGAAGAAGTTCCTGGCTCCTGGCTTCGGATCGGCACAGCACCAGCCGTTGCACTCACTTGGGGAGTGAATCATCGGACGGAAGATTTTCCTCTCTGTCTCTCCTCCTCTCTGAATATCTGACTTTCCAATAAATAAATAAATCTTAAAAAAAAAAAAATATATATATATATATATATATATAAATAAAAATGTCCTCCTTGACACCAGGTGACAAGGTATGGCAGAAAAGACAGGGACTAGGATATTGGTATAATGTCAGACACCTGACCTTCTCCAAAATCCAGGCTGCTACCATACGTTGCTGCCATTTCCCCACTGAGGGGCCTGGTTCAGGGGCCAACCCACTCACCCACTTGCCCTCCCGCTCTGGGGCTGCTGCCATTCTGAATCCAACCTGGCCTACCCAGGCTCAGCTCCTGGAGGCCCCAGATGAGCACAGAGACGGCCAGGCACTAGCACATGGGTGAACCCAACTCCTGCATGGGCCCTTATGAGCTGTTAGGATTTAAGTTAGCAACTGTTGAAAAAATTTTTTTCAACTGTATCTAGCCTGAAGTTTTATAACCTGGTAGCGTGCATCGTTGACAGCATGTTATTGTTCACTGTGTTCGCACGACGCAGGCCCTCGCTTGGCCCCCGTGCAGCCCCCTGGCTAGCCTGGTTCACCTGGATGTGCAAGTGCACAACTTTGGACTAATCCAATTCTCTTATTGCAGGCAAGTGGAAACCAGGACCATGAGAGGGGACGAGGACAGGTCCAAGGTCATACAGCAGGTGAGCAGTCTGCCACACAGCCCACCCAAGCCTCCTGCTCCCCGTTTTCCCAGTTAGAAGTCAGACTCATGTTCACTCACTTCCAAGCTGAACAACCCTGGGCTGTGGTCTACACACCCCCTGAGCCTGCCCTGAAGCCTGACCAAGTGGGGGAGCCCAGCTCTCTCCCTCCCTGGCCTCTGCTCACCCAGCCCCTTGGCTTTCTTCTTTTCCTGCGGCCTTCGGTGGTCTCGGTCTCCCACTTCCTCACTGGTGCGGATCTCTTCCGGGCCTGGCTCCACCTTGGAGGTCTCCTTCTCGCCATTGACTACCGGGATGCCTGGCTCTGTCTCCCCATTCCTGGCTGCATAGGTGCGCGACTTCTCAGCTTCTTCAGGTTCGAGGGGCTCCCCAGGGCCCCCCTGGTTGTTGTCCACACAGTATGTACTCAGAATGTCTTCCAGCTGGCGGCTCAGCTCCTCTGAGACATCGCAGAGGGCCCCCGGCTGGGCAGTCTTGGCTTGAGCCCCTATGGCAGGAGAGGCAGAGGGACAAACAGCAGGGTCAGTGGAGGGACAAAAAATTCCAGTGCCCAAAAACAATCACATGCAGCCCAATTTACTAGTTTGGGTTTAACGCTGCCTAACCTCTCTACACTTCTATTACTTACTAATTCTCACAACCATCCAAATCTAGTTTTGTTCCAGCGTGAAGGAAGCACCTAAGGCCACCAGCACATGTGGCTGGCCTGGCATGTTGCAGGAGGCTACTGTCTCATCCATTCCCTTTTCTCCGAGAGAGCCGTTACCTGTTCTTTCAACAGTTCCAGAAACGTCTCCACCCCGAGGCGGGGAGACCCACACTGGAGACTGGAACCTGGCTTTGCTGGCTGGGGACTCCCCTGACCCCCCACCGGCGGGGCTGCCTGTGGGGGGCCCTCCCTCCTCCCAGCCAGGGATGCGCTCCGGACCCCCACTCCTCCTCCCCTGCGGGCTGGGAAGGCCGAGCTGGCACACACACCCTCCTTTCTCCCGGGCGCTTGGCTGCTGGCACCTTCGGCTTCTGTCGCAGCGGCTGTCCGGCCGGGCCGCCCCTGGCCTCCCGCTTGGGCGGCTTCACGCTGTGCCGGGCCGCTTTTGGGGTTGGCCTGTTTGGCAGCTCCGTTCTTTTTGTCCTGGTTCTTCATTGTGCTGTGTAACGTCAGGTGAGCAGGAGATCCTTTAGACACACAGTTGTTGTTTTCCACAAAATTCTCCGCCGGGCATACGAAGATTCTTAAAAAACAAACACACACACACACAAACGGTCGGCCTTCAATGGAAGGGGGAGGATGGCGGTAACGGTTCTCCCGGCAGTCAGGAGAACCTGGCGTGCCCCGCCAAGGTTTCCGGGGCGCTGCTCCTGCAAGCGGCCGAGGACAGCGGCCTTCCTCCTTCCCCAAACCACTTCCCGGCCCCACACGGCCCCTCGCGGCAGGCCCAGCGCGGGATTGGCTCTGGGCCGCGGACTGACGTGGCGGGACGCTCCCCTCAGACCCCTCCCCGCCGTTCCTCAGGCCCCACGTGGGCCGCCGCGAACGCGCGCGCAGCCACCCCACGCCCCGCGCGCCCTCCAGCCGCGCGCATGCGCACAGCGCCGCCGCCACCGCCGCCCCGGTGCCCCTCGCGCAGAAATCCCACTGCTTTCCGCACTGGCCGAAAGCGTCCGGGGCCACAGGCCCAAGGCCTCATCCCGCCTCCGCGACGCTCACCTGAACCGGGCGACAGCGTCCGCGGCTCTAGCCTCGTACCGGAAACCCTGGGCAGCCGCTACCCGGAGAGCCGCCTGTCCTGGCCACGGCCAATTGGTGGCCGGCGCTGGCGCGGAGCTTGCTGGGAAGGACGGGGCAAAGGCGGCCTTCGAGGCGGGGGCAGGAGAGGACTACACGTCCCTCCATGCACCGGGAGAGCCGACTCCCGAGATGCCTCGGTCCTGCCTGGGAGCCGTGGATCCTGGAGGGCTGGACGAAGCTCGGGCGCGCCGTGTGTGTCACGCCGGGGTTGGGTGCGGGGCAGCCCCTTTCGCGGCTGTTTCCCCGCACGCCACAGTCAACACTTCTGCCTTGTTGTGCCCGGTCGGCCGTCACTCCGGCCTGACATCAGGGCGTGACTGAACATTCCCGTCTTTCCCTGGGCTTCCAGTTCCTTAATGGAATGCAGGCATTTAATAACGAAGGCAGTTCTTAGAGCAACTCCCCGAATGCTCGTTCAAGGTCACATAGGTTTTCTCTCGGCAGAGTCCAGAGAAGTTGTGGAGGAGGATAGCTCTCTCTCCCCACACTCATAAACAGAAAGGGGCTCAGGGATCCCTTCAGGGTTATCTGACCTCAAGCCCATTCTGGAAACTTTTCTTTTTTGGCCCACTTTGTACAAGGGGTCAGTGATACTGGGACTAAAGGTGAAAACAATTTTGCCCCACATGTGAGATCACTGTGATCAACTGTTTATAAAACCCACCAATGCCTGCTTTTGGAGTTTGAAGAGCCGATGGGGCTTGGCTTTTGCCTGTTTCCACCCAATCCTCCCTGCAGCCTCTGTTTCTTGCTCCAACTACACTTTTTGCCGATGCCATCTTTTCTTCGTGTTCTGTTCCAAGAAATAAAATCTGAGGTCATGTCCAAGCCTTCCCAGAGTTCAGGCTCCTTAGGGCTAACATTAGTATCAGTACTAAAATTACTGCTTGCTGGATTAATGCTCTAGTCCCCGAGCCTAGCATCAGGCTATGGACACCATTTGTAGATTTACCTGGCAACACTGAAGGCATGACAGTACTGAGGCTGAGTGTGGAAAATGACCCAAGTGCTTGGGCCTTGGCTCCTGTTGTGGGATAAACACAAGCTAGCTGATGATTGACCTAGAAAAACCTCCGTGCCTGGAATGCATCTATCACAGCTGGAGGGATTGCCAAGTACCTTGTGTCTGCTCCCCCACCCCTTTCAGGTAAATTTGCTTTTGGCCTAGTCATCACTTATGATGGGTGTTTCAGTGGGAAACAGCCAACATCTGTTTATTCACTTTCTCAATTTTTGTTTTTAAAGATGTTACTTATTTGAAAGTTACAGAGAGATCTTCCTCTGCTAGTTCAGTTTCCAATTGGCTACAGTGGTCAGAGCTGAGTTGATCTTAAGCCAGGAGCCAGATGCTTCCTCTGGGTCTCCCACATGGATTTGGACCGTCCTCGACTGCCTTCCCAGACCACAAGCAGGGAGCTGGATCGGAAGTGGAGCAGCCAGCACTCAAACAATCATCTAGTTCATATAGGATTCTGGTGCCAGAGGCAGAAGCTTAGCTTACTAAGCCAAAGCGCTAGTGCCACTTTCGCATATTTTAAATTATCACTTAGAATGCACACCTTTGTGTGTATCAAGGACCTGAAGGAAGTAAAAAACAAAACAAACTAACAAACACCTCCCTTAGACACACACACACAAAACCTAGATGGAGTTCAAGACTCCTGACTTTCAAAAAAAAAAAAAAAAAAAAAAAGGGCCCGGTGGCCTAGCGGCTAAAGTCCTTGCCTTCAATGCGCCGGGATCCCATATGGGCGCCGGTTCTAATCCCGGCAGCTCCACTTCCCATCCAGCTCCCTGCTTGTGGCCTGGAAAAGCAGTTGAGGACAGCCCAGTCTTGGGAGCCTGCACCCACGTGGGAGACCTGGAAGAAGTTCCTGGATCCTGGCTTCGGATCAGCATAGCATTAGCCATTGCGCTCACTTGGGGAGTGAATAATCGGACGGAAGATCTTTCTATCTCTCCTCCTCTCTGTATATCTGACTTTGTAATAAAAATAAAAATTAAAATCTGGCCCAGCCCTGACCCCAGCCTCAGCTGTTGTGGCCATTGGGAGTTGGGGTGTGGGAGTAAATTAGCAGAGGATCTGTTACCCCAATCCTACCCTGGGTAACTGCTTTTCGAATAAATCTAGGAAACAACAAAAGACTGAGACTGGAAACCAGGTTTCTTGAAACCAAACCTCTGATTATGTCTAGAAAAGCATACTGGAAGGGGAACATTTTGCTGCAGCAGGTTAAACTTGCAACAGCAATGTCCTTTATCATTGTGCCAGTTGAAGTCCTGGCTGTTCTGCTTCTGATACAGCCCCTTGCCGATCCACCTTGGGAAAGCAAAGGACGATTGCCCAAACACCCATGTGGGAGACCTGGATTGAACACCTGGCTCTGATCTGGGTCAGTCCTGGCTGCTGTGGCATTTAGGGAGTAAGCCAGCCATGGGAGATCTGCTTTTCCACCCTTAAAAAAAATGACAGTGGACAAACAAAAAAAGGTCTTTAAAATTCTTAAAAACATGTACACTCTGGGGACAGAACACAGACCAGTGATTTCTGGGGAGAGATAGGAAGGAAAGTTACGGAGGTAATGAATCCATATCTTATCTAAATAATGGTTTTGTGGGTGCATTTTAAGCTTCAGCTTGTAAAACTGCAAACTAGAAATAAGCACAACTTATGTCATTATTTCAATAGTCAATTGAAAAACCCACAAACTATAACAGAACAGATTGGTCTACTACTGCTAAGCTACAAGCTATAAATATTTTCTCATTTTCAAAAATTCAAGTCTCAGGCCTGGCGCGGTGGCCTAGTGGCTAAGGTCCTCGCCTTGAACGTGCTGGGATCCCATATGGGTGCTAGTTCTAATCCCAGCAGACCCGCTTCCCATCCAGTTCCCTGCTTGTGGCCTGGGAAAGCAGTCCAGGACAGCCTAAACCCTTGGGACCCTGCATCCACGTGGGAGACCCAGAAGTTCGCCGTTGCAGTCACTTGGGGAGCAAATCATCAGACGGAAGATCTTCCTCTGTGTCTCTCCTCCGCTCTGTATATCTGACTTTCCACTAAAAATAAATCTTAAAAAAAAACAAATTCAAGTCTCGCATCACTCCAAACCAAAGAAGACAATTTAGAACTTTGCAACAGGTTTTTATTTTTTGCTTTACATCTATTACAGTGTTTGAAACCTAAAGAAATACATTTTTCTCTTCAAATTTGGATGTGTATATAAATATCCTTTGTCTGGACTCAGCACGCTCAAATGCCACAATTTCTTGGCCTATGTCTGCTCTGAAATCACCAAGCTTTATATACCCAGGGGCCCTGAGAACATGAAAACAGCCAGAGTTTATAGTTTTTAGAAAATATAAAAGCAAATGAACTTGGAAAGAAAAGCCAGAGAAGAAAAAAAGTTTGATTCACCTTCTTAGGTCCTTAAGCAGGAAATCCAAACTGTTCTGGGGAAATACTCTGTGTTAGGTGGCTGGGACCTCATCACCCCTTCTTTTCTTCCAGTCTGATTCCGAGCTCTGACATCTTTCATGGCTCCCAGGACGTGACATACAGTTCTCATCTGCCAAACCCAAGGTCTGAAAACTGGACCTAAGAATAGTGCTAGCATTTGGCAGAAGGGCTCAGGTATGAGCTTATGTGGATATCCTTGATCAGGCAAGTCCGTAAGTCGCTGGATAGTCTCAAGCCCAGCTGGAGACACGGTGTACACAATCTTTTTCCAAGTGTGCTCTGGAACCAAAATGTAACACTGCTTTTCCTAACTCATGGCTGGCTGTACTTCTGCACATGGCCTGGGAGTGAATACCCTCTTAGAAAAGGAAAAACTGCTTCAACTCGCAGATTAGGTTGATTCTGGCCTCAAAGTCTTCCTTTGTCTTAGTCTTAACCTGGGGGGTGGGTCCAGGAGGTGGACAGTGGGATAACTGAATCATTTGTCTAGGTCCTGGCCAAAGAACAGCTACTGCCCATCACGTGGGTCACTGCAGGGTCAAATTCTCAGCTTGTTGGTTTAACAAAAGAACCTAGAAGCCAACAGAGAAGAGAATGCCAGAACAAGGTTGGTCAAGAATGTATAAGCCTAAATGGCTATGGAAAAAACTATTCTGTGTAATCTCTGTCTCACACTCACTTCCGGGTAGTACTACCTGGAACATGTTACCACTGGTCATGAGCATTTCTTACGGTTCACTTTTGAGTCCTGTGCCCTTTCCCACCTGCCAAGGAAAAGGAAATGTACACTCCTGAGGATCCCAACCAAGTTGACTTCTGTCCTGGGTCCAGGAATGTCCGCAGGGACCCGCAGGAACTGACTCCCTGCTTTCAACTGAGAATCCAGAACCTGAGTCTCCGAGATGAATCCACTGGGGAAAAACCAAGCGGAGTGAGTGTAGGGGAGAAAAGGAGGCCTGAACAAAAGAGCTAGGGCCTTCAAAAAGAGGTCCTTGGGGTAAGGAGGTGAATACTGTGAGACTCTTCTACTAGCACGCTAAAAAAAGCTTTGCTAGACACAGCAGGTAGACACAAGAGAACAAAAATACAGTTAAACTCACTAGATGGTTTTCATTGTAACCAGTTGGCTTGAGAAGAATATAAAGTGTTTTATTTCTCTTTCCCTTAAATAGATACAATAGCAATTACAATGTAGTTTAGCCACAAAAATCAGGGATCCTGAAAGGAGGTTCTGGGACAGAGAGGGTCTGTGTGGTAGATCTAAGGATTCTAGGTAAGTGGGGAAACACCAAAGACCCCAGAAAGTTGAGGTCATCAACAAACACTCCCTGGAAGGTCATTTGTGCCCACTGACCCAAGAAACCAAGTTGGCCACCTGAGGTGAAATCTATGTGGTTTTACTGTAGATTGCATGTAATATCAAGGTCAAGGAACAGGTGGGAGACAAAGGCAGATTTCTGAGACCAGAAACCCTGTTGGTACCAGAAAAGATGGCCAAGGATGGGATGCCAAAAGGGGCTGGAAATAAACAATAGCTGGCACTATGCAAAACAGCAAGTCCTGGGGTCCTCCCATTCCATGTCTAGACACCACTATCCCTTTAGAGCCCTTAATGAGGATTCTGAAACATGCTTTGATTTGGGCTATCCCCTGCAGTAAGCCAGCAAGCCCCTCTGCAGGCATAGCACTGCAATATCTACCACAAAGCTTGTGATCCTGGGCCTGGTGTCCAGAAGAGAGCTGCTTGTGAAGACTGGCTCTTTCTAAGATGGCCAAAGGAGAGGAGGAGATACGAAAGATGGACTTAAGTGAGCTGGAAGAACTTCACCTGTGGACTGAAAGCAGGTTTGAGGAAGATACTAAGGGAACAAGCTCTGGGGAAGACCCTAAGAGAAGCTCTTAGAGGCCATTGTTTGTTCTCATGAGTGATCTGTCACTCTTACTGTGCCATGGATGCCAGGCAGCCTTTGAAGCCCTCAGAGAAAACTTGTGTTAAGCAGCAGCCAGGTGACTGACAGTCATCCATCTGGTACAGATCAAAGCAGACCTTGGAGGAACAGCTGGTAAAGCAGGATATGTATGTTTAACACTAAGAACTAAATAAGTTTCAGGAACTTATCTGTTGCCTAATATGTATAAAATGATCCTTCTAGACAGCTCTTCCTTTTGGGCAAGACTATCGGGGGCAGGGGTGCTTGTCATTGAACTGTAGAATAATCTTATAGTGGAATAACAGGTCAAGTGAAAGCACTGCTGGCCCTTGTCTTCCTGGGAGATCAGAGGTTGGCAGTGCCCCACAAATGAACGGCACCTCACTCTCCAAAGCAGCACAACTGGGTGGGGTTTTTCAGTGGCAAATGCCTGCCTTGAATTTTACCCAGAAAATGGCTTGGAATGGGACCTCAACACCAGGAGATGAGGGCAAATTCAAGACCAATTCTGATAATAAAGTCCTTGAAACTTTAGATCTCTAAGCATAAGGGAATGGGATTCACCTGAGATAGAGGGAATGCACAGCAATAGGAGCAAAGATGCCACTGTTTCTCGGGAAGGGAAAAGTGCAGCCCAGAGCAGGACAACTCTCACACAGGGAGGATGGGGCACACTGTTCCTTTAGTCTACCACAGCGCTGCACCTAGATCCCCTCTACACCCTACCACCCGGGATGCAGTATCATTCCACCAACTTCATTCATAGGCATTTGGATTCTAATTATTACGAGGATGGGAAAACCGAGAGACCAGGTGCAAGGATTTCACAAAGCAAAGATACCAACAGCTCTCACAATAGTTACTCTGCTTGTTGAGGTTTTATGATAACAGGAGAGGCAGTCATGCCTGTTAGATACGTGGATAATGGCCTCCGAGACTGCAATTGCTCTCTGGAAGGATGGGGACCAGAGCAGCAGACCTCACCCCACCCTGCGGTGATCTTGCTTCCTACAGGGCAAGCAGACCAGGCTGACTTGCTTCACAAAGGTTCCAGAGCTGAAGGCTGGCCCCAGGGGGTGGCTCAGAAGCCAGACCTCGTCAACGTCCACATCTCATTGGTCTTCCTCACTGTGTCCTACTTACAGAAATTAGTTCTTCCTCTTGAGACCAATTAAGATCAGCCTACCTAATATACAGAATATAAAAAAATACAGAACCTTTTGACATTCTCTCCTTTGGAAGTAAAATATACATGATCCAACTATGGAAGAGGAAGAAGAAAGGCCAAAGGCAGGGATACCTGACCATCCCAACACATGAGCAAGGACCTCCTCCTCAGAAGGCAGGCCTGCAGTCCCTGGTCTCAAGCTCAGGAGAATATACAGCCACCTCAGAGATTCGTTCAACTCCGAGGGGGATTTTCAAGTAAACATATGAAGCTGGGTCGCACCATTCGGAAGGTGGATAGGAAACATAGGATCAGTAGCTACACATGGGGAAGCCCTGACGAATAAAGGCCTGTGCTCCTTCTCTCCCCTCCAAGGGGACAGAGACCCCAGGAGATTGAGGGGGAATCTCCCAAACTAAAGAGGTTTGGGTGGAGAGTCAGAGGGAGAGAGGCCTTTTAGCTCAGGGTGGCCTCGCCGTCAGCCTCTGTCCCCAACAATGCTGGCAGCTGGGATTCCTAACATGAGGGACTCATGGCTCTTAGGAAGAGCAATCTTAATACAAGACAAAATGTGCAAAAGAAAAAAAAACATTAAATAACTCAATCCAAGCATACAAGATTAATATTCTGTCTGAGCAAGAACACTTTGTTTGGATTTCTCCCCACCCCTGCCCTCCCACCTCTGGAATATTCCATCTGCTGAAGTACCCAAGATGAGTTACACAATCAGGGCAGATGACTGGGAAGGATGAAGGAAGATAAAAGGGAAGGAAGTCACCATTAAAGAAAAATAATAATAATTAAAAAAAAAAGGTGCAAATTGATTACCTCAGTCCTCCTTCGTCTACCCCTGGGCTCCTGGGTTAAAGACATTTGTGCAGCCAAAACATAGTGTAAGGAAGAAAACCCAACATGTCCCCTTGTCACAAAACCCAAATGTGAGCCTCAGATGGTTCTGTGTCCAGAGGGTGTTCCCTCCAGGGAAGGGGGGAGCAGGTCAAGAGCACAGTCTCCAGGACAGCAGAGGTGTGTGGTGGCTGACGTGGGGGCCTGGCTGCCTGCCCCCGCAGAGGGCGGCTCTGCTGCTGCTTGGTGGCGCTCCCCAGTCCCGGCCCTCCCCGGAGGCAGACATTATAGCTGGAAGCCCTCCATGGGGGCCTCGGGCTGCTGGAAGATGAATTGCTGTTGCGTTTCATCCACTTGGGGAGCCAGGCTGCTGTCATCATCCTCTACACCAAAGTAGTGCTCGATGAGGTCAAAGGCCTTCTGGTAGATCTCCTGGTTCTCGTGGCTCTGGAGAAACTCAATTTTATCCAAGCCTATGGCCACAAGGAAGAATAAAGTCTGAGTGTTTTTCTACAGGTTCATGAAATACCTGTTTCTCTCTTTCTGAAGTATGTTCGTATTTACAAACACAAGTTGTATGACCACATTACTATTATGAACCTGAAATAGGATGGTGAACACCGAGTTCCCTACTTCTACAAATCAAAAATCAGATCAAAATATCAATTACACATAAGGAAAATCCAGTACTGATTTTGCTTTAACTTTTTTATCTGTGCCACAGTTACTTCAGGTAGAGCCTAACTGGAAGAGAACTGATCTACTGCTGCTCAGAGAGAAAAGGAACTGGTGAGATAAAATCCTGGAATCAAAACACAACTCCGAATCCAGATTCCAGCTCTACCCTGGCCACTCATGTGCCAGTCACTCCCATGGTACGACCAGTGGTGTGAATGGTAGAATTTGGCCAGAAGATGAGCTCTTACCTGATTTTAGGGACAATGTCACATGTGAGCTACTGATGCTTCCCATACTTCTTACATACACACTCCCTCCCTTATTGCTCCAGAGGCCTAAAACCCCAAGGCTTGGCCCTAGAACCTGGGTACGCAAGGCACAGTTGAGGCTGCTGAGAGGACACCTACCATAGGCTTCCTCAATGAGACCACAATAGGGATTGACTCCCGAGCCACTGCGCTTGCCCTCCTGTTCTCCAAGCCGCAAGATATTCTCCAGTCCATTGAGGGCCACTTGTACAATCTTTGAATCCATCACAGTCAGTAAGTCACACAGGGGTTTGATGCAGCCCAAGGAGACCAGGTACCTGGAGCCAGAGAAGAGAGAAGTTCTGATTTAATACTGGCCTATGGGTCTTCCTCATCCTTTCCAATACCTTCAGCAACACCTTTTCTTTTTTAAAGAATTTATTTGTTTGTTTGTTTAATGGAAAGACAGAGTTACAGAGAGAGATATATCTTCCACCTGCTAGTTTACTCCCCCCACCCCCCAATGTCTGTAATGGGCAGAGTTGAAATGATCCAAAGCAAGGAACCTGGAGTTTCTTGTGGATCTCCCACATGGGTGCAGAGGCAGAAGGACCTTCACCCTCTTCCACTGCTTTCCCAGGCCACAAGCAGAGAGCTGGATCAAAAGCGGAGCTGCCAGGATATGAACCGGCACCCATATGGGATGCTAGCGCCACAGGTGCTATCTTTATCCTCAATGTCATAATTCCCCCCTAAATATCAATTCTGAATCTTGGTAAACACACAGTCACTGCCTCTTGAATCTATCATCTCTACCGGTGTACTCTGTTTCACAGGTGGATTCTACCATGTTTCCTCCTTGTTGCTAATGCCAACATAGTTGTAATATTACTATTCTGAATATATAATTTCCCTGTTTAAAAGCTTCCACAGGTTCCACCATTTCCATGGAGCCTACAGTACAACAGACTTTCTACAACATGGTTTCTACTGCCTTTTCTAGCTCGGCCTCTCATTACTGCCCTCTAAGAACATTACAAGAACTTGAAATCTTTACTTCACCAATGCTACTCCCATCTAAAAGCCCTCATGCAGATTTACTCATCCTTCAATGCCTCACTTTTAATCTGTTATCTAAGGCTTCACATATGCAGAATACGTTATTCCTAGTAGGCTACAAGTGGAGGAAAAGTTTCTTACCTGGGGCCTGGAGTGGTAGCCTAGCTGAAAAAGTCTTTGCCTTGAACACACTGGGATCCCATATGGGCGCTGGTGCTAATCTTGGCAGACTTGCTTCCCATCCAGCTCCCTGCTTGTGGCCTGGGAAAGCAGTTGAGGATGGCCCAAAGCCTTGGGAGCCTGCACCCTGGTGGGAGACCCAGAAGAAGCTCCTGGCTTCGGATCGGCTCAGCTCTGGCCATTCGGTCATTTGGGGAGTGAATCATTGGACAGAAGCTCTTCCTCTGTCTCCCTTCTCTGTATCTCTATGTATATCCGACTTTGCAATAAAAATAAATAAATCTTAAAAAAAGAGTCACTTATCTAACTCCTACAACTGTCCAGATCATGGAAACACAGAAATCACACACAAAAAACAGGTTTTGATTTGGTTTTCTCACGTCTCATTCAATGTATGAATTCCCAAAGAAGCTGCTCTGGGAACTCAATTATTTGCAAAAATAATTGAGAATGGGGCTGGCATGATGGCAGTGCTCCACTTCCAATCCTGCTGCCTGCTGATGTGCCTGGGAATGCAAAAGATGGCCCAAGTAGTTGTACCCATGTGGGAGATCCAGATGAGCTTTCTGACTCCTGGCTTCAGCCTGGCCCAGCTGTGAACATTGTTGAGGAGAAACTCAGCGGATGGAAATGTGTTTTCTCCCTCTGCGTAACTCTTTTGAAAAAAATAAGGAAACCTTAAAAAAAAAGGGGGGGGTTTCGGGGGAATGGATTGTGATACCTTATCTGCTCAGGGGTGCCTCCCGATGTGGCATTGGTGATGGCCCAGGCTGCCTCTTTCCTTGTTCGGAACTCGGCCTTCTGAAGGATTTCAATCAACACAGGGAAGATATTTGCATCTATGACAGCCTGAGAGAAAATTGAAGGCATGAGATGCAGGGAGAATACTGCCTCACAGAAAGCTAATTCAAGCCACAATATCAGCTAAGACTTAGATATCATTCCCCTCTGTGGGGTTATCCTTGATTCTTCCCACACAAGTGACAGGTTACAGAGAATCCCAAATATGGTCACACACAGTCTCAGATTAACACTGCATAGCAGCTCCAGTTTCTAAGAAGAAACATATTCTTTCTGGAAAACATCTCACAACCTCCCATGCTCCTATGCTGCCCACATCTCTCAGCTTCTCTGCATATTCTACCTGTATCTGAGCCCTGTTGCCAGCAGTGATATTTGAAATGGTCCAGCAAGCTTCCTTCCGGATCGATTCCTTTGGACTGCTCAGCAAGTGGAGGAGACAAGGGAGAGCTGAACAGTTGAGAATGACCTAGAACACCAAAAGCACAGGAAATTAAAAACTAGATAAATAACATGAAGTTGAAATTAAAAACTTACACATGTCAAGATGCTAGTATCCACTTGGAAAGTGAGCCGAGGGAAGGAAAGAACATCTTTTTCTCCTCCTGAGACGCATCCCTTCACCCTGGGAGGCAGTGCCTATGGCTCAAATAACTGGGGTTCCTTCTACCCACGCAGATGATCTTGCTCCTGCCTTTGACCTGGCCTAACTCTGGCTGTTGTAGCCATCTGCAGAGTGAGCGAGACAATGAATATCTCCCATGCACCCACAGGGGAGAACCTTGGCCTTTTAGCAGAATAATTTTTAAAAAATTTTATTTTATCTTTTATTGGAAAGGCAGATATACAGAGAGGAGAGACAGAGAGGAAGATCTTCCGCCCGATGATTCACTCCCCAGGTGGCCGCTACGGCTGGAGCTGAGCCAATCCAAAGCCAGGAGCCTCTTCTGGGTCTCCCTCGGGGGTGCAGGATCCCAAAGCTTTGGGCCGTCCTCGACTAGCAGAATAATTTTGCCAATCCACCTGCGGGCTATCAACATGTGGCAATATCCATAATTAAAACTTTACTGTTTTTACAGTCACAGGTAATGAGTGTGGTTATCTTCCACAAGTTCCTGCTAGATGATGCTATGCTTTTTTTTTTTTTTTAATTCATTTATTTTTTATTGGGAAGTCAGATATATAGAGAACAGGAGAGAGGAGGAGAGACAGAGAGGAAGACCTTCCATTCGTTGACTCACTCCCCAAGTAGCCACAACTGTCAGAGCTGAACTTATCTGAAGCTAGGAGCCAGGAGCTTCTTCTGGGTCTCCCACGCTGGTGCATGGTCCCAAGGCCTTGGGCTGTCCTTGACTACTTTCCCAGGCCACAAGCAGGGAGCTGGATGGGAAGCAGCACGGCCAGGACATGAACCGGTGCCCATGGGATCCCAGTATGTGTAAGGCGAGTACTTTAACCATTAGGCTACCTCACCAGGCCTGATGCTATGCTTCTAATTCATAGAAGATAGGAAGGAATTAAGTTGCCTGTGGTTATATAGAATGGCAGAGATGAACTGCTTTACTCAGTCCTATGCATTCACACCTGGACCATGTTGCCCGCCAGGACCAGCATCCTTGGCAGGGAAGGTTGCTCTCCCAGAAGCTGGTCTGAGCTGAGATCCTATTCCCCCCTCCTCCTTACCTGGGTCTGGATATCATCCCCAGTGACAATGTTACCCACAGCTCTCAGGGCAGGTGAAGCCACTTTGTGATCATTGTGCCTACAGAGAAGGAAGAGCTCATCAGTGGACGGCCCACCCAGCATACTCCTGCTGATACCCAAACCTGACAACACTCTCATGACTCCAAATTTTTGGGTTGGGCAGCAAAGTGCTACTGCAGCTCTTTACACAAACTTGGAGAAACTTAAGCAATCTGTGCCCTCTCTAATGTAGTTTACTCACATCAGAAGCTCTACCAATCTCCGGCAAACTCCAGAGTCTATGACGGCCTGGATCTTCTCATTGGGGCCATCAGACAGGTAAGAGAGGGCCCAGCAGGCATCCGCCAGCAAGTCTGAGTCACTGCTGAAAAGTAGGCGAGACAGTACAGGCAAACAAGGAGAGACCTGTTGAGAGCAGAGCGGGGAAGGACTCGATCACTAACACCAACGTTACGAACAAGTCATTCTACATCTTGTGCCTTTCCTTCACACTAGGGCTTCAGGCCTACCAAGTCATCCACTCCAATAGCAACTGCTTTTTCTTTCAGTCTCTCCCATGATTTGAGTCTTAAAGAGTGTCTGCAAAGACTTCACAAGTCCCTATGAAGCAATCCACTACAAATCACCACTGGGAAGCAGCTCTCTCACCTTTGCAAAATCTGGAGGTGGGTTTTTCCCTCGGCAGAGGTTTGACAGAGCCCAGACTGCATTCCGTGTCATTGTCAGTCGTGTAGACTTGGTTAGGAGCCTGAAGGAAACAGAAAAAGTCAGATCGTGCTACCTGATACTGTGGCATATAAGGCTACTGCCATTGAACCCCAGGGGCAGATCCAATCAGACCCCTAAGACTTCAGCAGCTTACTTCTTTCTACCTGCAGAACCAAATTAGCAAAGAAGTGTGGGCCGGGAGCCTGACATCTGCACTGACAATTCAGACCAGCTGTGGTAGTTAATCACAAAGGGGCAAAACAGAGGGCTAGACTCTAAGGTGGCAAAGCTTTATTTCCATCTTAAAACAGAAAACAAAACAAAACAAAACTCATTTAAAAGGCAGATTTTAATACAGTGAGAAGGACAGAGAATGAGCAACCGATCATCCTCTGGCTCACTCCCTAATGGCCACAACAGCCAGGGCTGGGCCAGGTTGAAGCCAGGAACCAAAAGCCAGGGGTTTCATCTAGAGCTCTCATAGGGGCACAGGGGTCCAAGCACTTGGGTACCTTTCCCAGATGCATTAGCAGGAGCTGGATTGGAAGTGGAGCATCTGGGACTTGAACAAGTGCACAGATGGGCAGTGTCTCAACATGTTAAGTCACAATGCCAGCCCTAGCAGGGAAGCTTTCATGGCAGGACATATAGTGCCCATAGCGATGGCCAAAGCGGTGAACAAGAGATGTATCTTTGGAAATAAAACATGAAAGTCTAGTGGTAGGGTTTTAGCTATGATTCACAGGACAACTTTTTTCGTAAAGGGTTCAAGAAATGATAGCAATAGTCTGCAAGGTTGAGGTTTATCAAGAGCGGTTCATGCATATGTTTTCAGCCAGATGCAGCTGACTTGAGGCTGTGAGGGAAGGGATGGAGACAGGGCTCCAGATGATCCTGCACAGCATCACTGATTTATAATTTACAACAGAGCTATCCAATGTGCCTACACACAACCCCACAGGAGACGAACGTGCTCTAAAGACTAGCCTTCCTTCCTCCCTTGGCTCACAAACGAGGCTGATATGACCCACAATAGGGTCTACAGTGCCTCAAAATGAAGAATAGGATCTGGTACACTATTCTCTTTCTCAAAAAGATACTTATTTTTTCACTTCAGCAATTAGAATATACTTACAGAATTTGTATTTGTCATCTTAAGGAATCAAGCTACAGGCAAATGACTTGCCATGTGGCTACCCTATTAAACGCCTAGGTGCAAATGATTGTAATTACTCACGTTAATAAAGGATTCAGGATGGAACAGTTCAAGACGTAATCTCGGCACACAGAGCTGTCCCCAGCTATGTTTCCCAGTGCCCAGACTGCCTGCAAAGGGAGTGATGAAGCTGTCACTCAGAGCCTGCAGCTTGCATGAGTATTTATGAACAATCACAGAGTTCCCACCAGGCTGAGTCATGTCAAGGCTCAAGGCACACTAAACAAGCTCAGGTAACCTCCCTGTTGAAATCCTTAGTGAGCACTTGCTTTTCACTGGCCTTTACATTCAGAGTTCCTGGTTGAGTGAGAAAGAAAGGCTGCCATCTGCACCACAGCCTGAGAAGCCAAAGAGCTGCCCACTGCCATTCCCTTGGAAAGGGTCAGTGAGTCACACCCTTGGAGCTGCTTTTGGATCAACTTTAAAAGTACTGATGGAGTAAATATGTCATTACCACTCATTACTTCTATCTAACCACCAAAAATCCACTTGGAGAAATCAAAGTTACATCTTAACTGCCATGATCTTTGGTAACAGGGAAACTGGTAATGTATAGTGCAGTGTCTTCTTCCCACATTATTTCTGGCACTGAAGGCATATGCGGCATCTTCCCCACACCAACAACTAATTCTCAGACACCAACTCCATGTCCAACAATTTATTTCAAATTTGACACTAACTCTTAAAAGTTAATGCAGACCCCACAGATCAACCCCGTGAATCACTCCCACGTAACCTGTGCTACACTTCAGACACTAATCCTGAGTCCCAGCCACTACCTACATTTCTAACCGATCAGCTAGAAATTTTGGAATTCTTACAGAGAACTCAGAGAAACACTTCATTTATGTTTACTAGCTTATTATAAAGAAAGCAGCTCAGGACCAGCCACATACAGACATGTTAGACAAGGCAGGAAGTGAGGAGGGCAGTGCAGAGCTGCCATGTTCTCTGCCACCTTCTCAGTATACTGACGTGGACACAGACCTAGAAGCTCTCACTTCTCAACAGCTTATAACCCAATCTCCAGGCCCCTGCTCCTGGGGAAGTCAAGGTGAAGGACGAGACCAGGAGCTCCCACGTCTATGTTTGGTTTTTCTAGTGCCTAACCCCTGAAAGGCTACCTAGGAGCCCTCCCTGAGTCATTTCATTAACATGGACTCAGATATGTCCCAACAGGGCTCTATAAATAGCAAAACACGCTTACTACCCAGAAGATTCCAAGATTTTTAAGAACATTATGCCAAGAACCGGAACTAAAGTCAAGCACATTTGGTGGCACACTGTAGCTACCACCGAGAATTAATCCAATCTGAGCATTACCTGTTCCTGTACATCTTCAAAGTCGGAGTTAAGCAGCTCTATGAAAATGGGGACAGCCCCAGCCTCAATGACAATTTTGGTTTGCTGAGATGTTCCAGAGGCAATGTTGGTTAGAGCCCAGGCAGCTTCAAACTGGAAAGGAAATTAAGTCAACACTGAGAGATACTACAAACCGAGCAGTCATGTGTACGCACTAGCTCAGAATAGTACATCTCTTGCCCCCAAAAAGTAAAACAAAAACTAAGCATTTTCCCTCCCTTGTTTTAAATGGTAGGAAGAGGCAGCGAGGTGACACATTGGGAAGATGGAATTGGAATCCTCTGGTCTGGTTTTGTACTGTAACACCCACAGAATCTCTAACAAGTCACTGATTTATTTCCCAAGTTTCATGCTCATCACTTTTGAAATGAGAGTTAGTGAGGTAGGCTGTGTAAAGGCCCCTTCAGCTGAGTTTCCAACAAGCTCCAGGAGGCAGACTTGTCAGCCATGTACTGAGAAAAGACACGGAAGTATACTAGACCCTCTGATTTGTAATGGGGTGGTCTGTTTGCAATAGTCTTGTGTTTCTGAGCTTAAGAAAAATTGAAAGGAAACTTACCTTGCATGTTTTTATCATGTACAACATGGTGCTCGGAGCTACTTCCAGCTCTGAATGCATGTAAGCAAGTATATGACAGAATGGCTAAATACAGCCAATTAACAAATGCATTACTCCACAGTTACTGAGATCACTGTGAAGGAAGAGATTTTGTTTTTCTTCTTTCTTTAAAGCTAAGCTCTCTGAGGCGTCTGACAGTTTACATGTTTATCACATGATGTTATCTTGAGAGATAGGATGTCTACTGATAAATACTATTGCAATTTCTTAGAAAGGGGCTTTATTTAATAACCTTTCCCTGGGCCTCACCTGTAACGTACAGTTCTCATTTCTCTTCAGAAACTCCACAAAGCGATCCACTACTCCCGGTGTGTTGATGACTTCGTCTATGGGAGGACTAGGCTCTGCAGGAGAAAGACGGAAGAAGAAAAAGATGTACTCGCCACTGGTATCAACCAGGATTCTCCCTCAACACTTCTGACCACTATACAAACATACACAAACTCCCTTCTGTTCAGGTAGCTTTATCAATACTCGGTCCTTAAATGCAAAAATACTTATTTATTTATTTATTCGAAAGGCAAAGAAATAAAGAGATCTTCCATTCATGAGGGTTGGGACTTCCAGAGCTGCGCCAATCTGCAGCCAGGAGCCTCTTCCAGGTTTCCCACACGGGTACAGGGTCCCAAGGTTTTGGGCCGTCCTCGACTGCTTTCCTAGGCCACAAATAGGCAGCTGTACAAAGTGGGGCTGCCAAGAATTAGAATTGGTGTCCATATGAGATCCCAGCACATTTAAGGCAAAGACTTTAGCCGCTAGGCTATGGCGCTGGGCCCTTTGTTTATAAGTGAATGGAAAACACAACCCAATTAGGATTGACTTAAAAAAAAAAAAAGATTGACTTCACCCTTACACAGTCTAACTATATCACATGGTTCAAAGATGAAAGGTATGGGACTGATATTACACAGTAGGTTAAACTGTCATGAAGGATGGCATCATCCCCTTTCAAAGTCCTATAGGACTGAGGCTTACTTGTTTCCATTTAGGATTCCTCCTAACGCTCCTGGAAGAAAACAGATGATGGCCAAAGTAATCGAATTTCCACCATCCATGTAAGAAACTTCAATGTTAGTTGCTGGTTCCTAGCTTAAGTTTTTTCTATCATTCTGTATTTCAAATCAATAAATCTCAGAACAAAAGGAAATCAAGAGCAGAACTGGGACCACTGCTGTGGAGTAAACAGGTTAAACCTTTGCCTGTGGCACTGGATATCCCATATGGGCCGTGTTTCAAGTCCTCGCTGCTCCACTCCTGATTCAGATCCATGCCTATGGCCTGGGAAAGCAGTGAGGACAGCTCAAGTCCTTGGAATCCTGCACACATGAGGAGAGCCGTAAGAAGCTCCTGGCTTTGGATTGGCTCAGCTCTGGCTGTTGTGGCCACGTGGAGTGTGAACTAAGGATGGAGGATCTGTCTCTCCTTTTTCTCTATAACTCTTTCAACTAAAAATTAAACAAAACTTTTTTTAAAAATAGGAAAAAAAAAGAAATTGAGCACAGAATTGAGAAAGATGAAATGTAGATATGTGGAGTGAAAAATTAAGCAGAGAGAAAAAACCAAACATAAAGGTGAGAGCATGGGGTCACGTTGTGGCACAGTAAGTAATGCACTCTGTGTGATACCACTGTCCTATTTTGGTGTGCTGTTTTTTTTTTTTTTAAAGATTTATTTATTTATTTTTTAAAGATTTATATTATTTTTATTGCAAAGGCGGATATACAGAGAGGAGAGACAGAGAGGAAGATCTTAAGTCCATCCGATGATTCACTCCCCAAATGACTACAACAGCCAGTGCTGTGCCAATCCAAAGCCAGGAGCCTCTTCCGGGTCTCCCACGTGGGTGCAGGGTCCCAAACCTTTGGGCCGTCCTTGACTGCTTTCCCGGGTCACAGGCAGGGAGCTGGATGGAAAGCGGGGCCGCCGGGATTAGAACCAGCGCCCATGTGGGATCCCGGGCGTGCAAGGTGAGGACTTTAACCACTGCGCCACCGTGCTGGGCCCTAAAGATTTATTTATTTTTACTACAAAGTCAGATACACAGAGAGGAGGAGAGACAGAGAGGAAGATCTTCCGTCCGATGATTCACTCCCCAAGTGAGTGAAACTGCCGGTGCTATGCCAATCCGAAGCCGGGAACCAGGAACTTCTTCCAGGTATCCCACACGGGTGCAGGGTCCCAAAGACTTGGGCCTTCCTTGACTACTTTCCCAGGCCACAAGCAGGGAGCTGGGTGGGAAGTGGAGCTGCTGGGATTAGAACTGGTGCCTAAATAGGATCCCAGCGCTTTCAAGGCAAGGACTTTAGCTGTTAGGCCACGACATTGGGCCCAGTGTGCTGGTTTTTAAGTCCCAGTTTCTCCGCTTCCATTCCAGGTTTCTGCCAATGTGCTGGAGCAGGAAGCAGAAGACTGTCCAAACGCTTGGGCCCCTTCCAACTACATGAGAGGCTCATATCAAGTTCCTAGTTTCCAGCTTCGCTTGGCCCACCCTGGCTTTTGAAGTTATTTATGACATAAACCCAAGTATAGAGGATTTTTCTCTCTGTCTCTCTCTCAGATACTCTGCCTTTATCAAATAAAGGCGAGACCAGCACCCAAGGCCAATAGGGCTAAAGCAGAATGAATGAGAGGGAGAGGAGTTAATGAGGTCTGTAAAAAGACACAAGAGGCTAAATCCCATAAGGCCTCAAGGAGATGGACCAGGCTTTGTACCTTTAGAGAGCAGTTTCCGGAATTTCTGTGTGGTGGCTAACTGCAGGTCAGAGTCAACAGAAAAGAGCATTTCCACCATCTCTCTTGTGATGACACTCTCCTAGAACACAGAACAGGTTTAGGACTTCCCCATCCAACATTAGAGCAAGATATGAATGCATAATCCTGCTTTCTAAGACTTGAATTAAAGAGAAAGGGTATAAAAGACTCTGGGAAAATTGTGTGGCTACTTCTAGCTGCAATATTTCAGAGGTGTTCCTACTTTCAGGCAACTGATGGGTTCTCTTACGTGATTTCCTCAGGTATTTCCATCCAAGATGATTAACTTCCGTCGATTTCTTAAATGACTGCTCACGGAAGTTACGGTGAGCATCGTCACTGGCAAAGCCACCAGGTGACGTGAAACACCCAATCTCTGTTCTATGGAAGCAAGCAAGTCCCAGGCTGATTCAGTCACACGCAAGGGCCTTACCCCAGTGGTAGAGCTCACATAGGAGTCCATAAGGAGACTATCAAACATGGCAGCTTCTTCATTGATTAGCTCCACATTTCTCCGTTTGAAAAGCTGTATGTAAGTAAAGTGAAAAGACAGGGTAAGATAACTCACCGAATGAAAAAAACCAAGAACAACCCAATATTAAATTATGGCCCAATGAGGTCATGTTAGACCAGTTAAGGAAATGATGAGATGCTTTACGTTCTGACAAGGAACATTTTCTAAGGAGTTTACCTCTGTTTGCATTTTTATAAACAGAAAAAACAAAAACAACTTTTAATGATTACAGTGTCAAGAGAGGAGACAAAAGTAAGTTAGGTAACTACACGTAGATGAGCACCGTGAACCAAGTCCAGATGGTGAGGCATTGACCTTGCCTCACACGTAGGCACGCTACTTAGAAGGATGGGACCCCAGAAAACATGAGCAGCCCAGGGTGGTTGATGAGCTCCTTAAAAGGGGTAGGCTTGGAGCAGGCCCCTGAGGGCCAGACCTAACACCGACTGCGGTGTGAAGAATAAAAAAGGCACCACGACTTAGAACTAGATTGCTACACTGAAGACATACATGACATCTCAGCTGGTTAAAATGACAGGAGGGACAAGTTTTCAATATTTCTTAAGAAAAGGAAACTGATGACTGGCCCATCCAAACTACTCGAGAGAAAAATTGTATAAGGTGGAGAGCCACCATACAGCCTCAATCGTTTCTCCCAACAGTTATCTTTGAAAACACTCTGTTTAACCCACTTGTTGCTCTCGCTTTTGCTTCCGGAGCTGAATGCCCTCTTCCTCTCTTCTCCGCCTCATTTCTTCAGGGTTTAGGGCATTGTTCTTATAGCTCTTCATTCGATAATTATCTTTCCCCGGACTTGCCATGGTCTCTAGAATAAACAAAAGGAGAAAAACACACTGTCAAAGACCCTCAAAAGCATTGTTCTTTATCATTGGTCTTCAGCTCCAACCCATTCACCCTCACCACGCCCCTCCAGGGAGACCACAGCAGCAGCTAAGCCTGCCACTTGCGACACATAAAACCCATATCACAGTGCTATTTGAGTTCCAGTACCACTTCCCAAGAGGTTTCCAATTCAAAACCTTGCAATGCATTCTGGGAGGCAGCAAATAATGGCTCAAGTATTTGGATCCTGTCACCTAAATATTGGGACCCTGCACCCGTGTGGGAGATCTAGAGGAAGGTCCTGGATCCTGGCTTTGGACTGGCTCAGCTGAGGCCATTGTGGCGACTTGGAGAGTGAACCAGAAGACAGATCTTTCTCTTTGTATCTCCTTCTCTTCATATATCTGCCTTTCCAATAAAAAAAAAAAAAAGTTAAAATACTATGTGACACCTCTAGTACCACACCTGTACCAAGGCACACAGTATAGCTCCTTAAGCAAGTACTATTACATCAATTGGTACAGCACAGCAGTTAAAGGTATGGTTAAGAATGAATCTGTTTTCCACTCCGGTTTTTATACTTTGTAGTTGTGCCTCCCTTAGCAAGCTGCTCAAATTCCTATGCACTGGACAAAACAAGGGCATACAAGTTTAAACTTGTCAGAATTCTTTTTTTTTTTTTTAAGATTTATTTGTTTTTATTAAAAGTCAGATATACAGAGAGGAGGAGAGAGGGAGGAAGATCTTCCATCCGATGATTCACTCCCCAAGTGACAACAACAGCCGGTGCTGTGCCGATCCGAAGCCAGGAGCCAGGACCTTCCACACGGGTGCAGGATACGAAAGCATTGGACTGTCCTTGACTACTTTCACAAACCACAAGCAGGGAGCTGGATGGGAAGTGGAGCTGCAGGGATTAGAACCAGCGCCCATATGGAATCCTGGTGCATTCAAAGCAAGGACTTTAGTCACTAGCCTACGCTGCCAGGCCCCAGAATTCTTTCTTTTAAGATTTATTTTGTTTTTATTACAAAGTCAGATATACAGAGAGGAAGATCTTCTGTCCAATGGTTCATTCCCCAAGTTAGTGAAACGGCCGGTGCCCAGTGCTGTGCCAATCCGAAGCCGGGAACCATGAGCTCTTTTGGGTATCCCACACGGGTGCAGGGTCCCAAAACTTTGGGCCTTCCTTGACTGCTTTCCCAGGCCACAAGCAGGGAGCTGGGTGGGAAGTGGAGCTGCCAGGATTAGAACCGGCGCCCATATGGGATCCTGGTGCGTTCAAGGCAAGGACTTTAGCCACTAGGCCAGGCCGCCGGACCCAGGCCCCAGAATTCTTACAAGGTTGTATACTCTTTATCTGCAATGCTCGAGACCAAGTGTGTCCCATTTTAAAATATGTGCATACACTCAATGAGAGAACCTGGGTTTGGAATCCAAGTTTACATACAAAATTTTTGTTTTATGCATATCTTGCACAGTCTGGAGGTTAATTTTATATAGTATTTTTAGAGCGCCTGCATTCTGACTATGACACAACACATGAAGTCATGTGCAAGATTTTTTTTCTATTGCCATGTTGGTGCTTGAGATTTCAGCAATTGAATTTTGAATTTTTACATTAGGAAATGTTCAAGCTGTATAAAGATTACACAGAAAGATATAAGGTACTTCTTAGCACAATGGTAGATACATGATAAATGTTCATAAACTGAGAGTAATCCATGATTTGTCCAATACAAACTCAGACATACTTAACCTACCAAGTTAAATACATACTAGTATAACCGATTTTGTAGAATATCACGTACCTTTCTGCAATAACCTATATGTCCATCAGAGTTTTAAATTTTAAAAGCTTACCACTGGGCCACCATCATAGCAAGTAGGTAAAGCCACAGCCTGCAGTGCCAGCATCCCACAGGGCTGCAGGAACAAGCCCCAACTACTTCACTTCTCTTAAGTTATCATTATCATTATCATTATTAAATAAACTTTTAAAATGTGTTTATTTTTATTGGTAAGGCAGCTATACAGAGAGAATACAGAGAGAAAGATCTTCCATCCACTGGTTCACTCCCCAAGTAGCCACAACAGTTGAAGCTGAGCTGATCCAAGGCCAGGAGCCAGGAACTTCTTCTGAGTCCCCCAAGTGGGTGCAGGGTCCCAAGGTTTTGGGCTTTCCTCTACTGTTTTCCCAGGGAGCTGGCTGGGAAGTGGAACAGGCGGGATATGAACTGGTGCTTATCTATGAACACAGCACATGCAGGGTGAGAACTTCGGCCAGCTGCTCCACCTCTAATTCAGACCTCTGATAATGCAACTGGAAAACAATGGAAGACAGCCCAAGTGTTTGGTCCCCTGCACCCATGTGGGCGACCAAGAAGCTCTTGACTTCTGGCTTTGGATCAACCTAGCTCCAGGTGTTGTGGCCATATGGAGTGTGAACTAGCAGATGGGAGATGAATCTTTCACTAACTCCACCTTTCAAATAAATAAATCATTAAAAACATTCCTTAATCTGCTCATTCACTCTTCAATATCTGTAACAACCAGGCTGGGCCAGGCCAAAGCAAAGACTAAATCTCTGTCCCCCACGTGGGCAGCACGTCAGCCATCTGCTGCCTCCCAGGATGTATGAGCAGGAAAACAGGAAACTGAAGTGGTGTGGCCATAATTATAGTCAGCAGTTCAATGGCGGATGCAGGCAGTAATGAGTGGCAGGCTAATGCACAATGCTGCCTCTCATGGGCTTTTTGCAGCATTCCTCTAAGATGCTCATCTGTGAAGCTACCACTGACTCTAAAAGCCAGAATATAACTGACATACTATTATACAGTTGTGGATTCTCCCCCTTTCCCAGACTGCCTAATCCTACTTGCACTTAAACCAAAACAACACTGCTATCGTGTACTGTTGCCTTTGCTTTTAGATTTGCACACATGCTTGACTGAATTTAGTATGAGATTTGGTTCCCACCACTTTCTGGGTATCCCCAAGATTTGCCCACATTTTAAACTACAGCTGCCGCTCACTCACCTTTCCTGTGTTTTGTTATTTTACTGTGTGAACACATAATTTATCCATTTTTGTATTGGGCTTAACTCCCAAATTTTCCCTACCATAAACCTATTCAGAAGTTACTGAAGGGGCTGATGCTGTGGCATAGCAGCGACGTCTCTGCCTTCCCCCTGGGTCCCTCCACTCAACATGGGAAACCTAGAAGTTGTAGCTCCTGGCTTCAGACCAGCCCAAACCTAGTCACTACAGCCATCTGGACAGTGAACTGCAGATGGAGGATCACTCAGTCTCTCTGCCTTTCAAAATGAACAAACAGGGCCTAGCGGCTAAAGTCCTCACCTTGAACGCACCAGGATCCCATTTGGGCACCGGTTCTAATCCTGGCAGCTCCACTTCCCATCCAGCTCCCTGCTTGTGGCCTGGGAAGGCAGTCGAGGACAGCCCAAAGTTTTGGGACCCTGCACCCATGTGGGAGACCTGGAGGAGGTTCCTGGTTCCTGGCTTCGGGTCAGCATACCACCAGCCATTGTGGCTCACTTGGGGAGTGAATCATCAGATGGAAGATCTTCCTCTCTGTCTCTCCTTCTCTCTGTATATCTGACTTTGTAATAAAAAAATAAATAAATAAATCTTAAACAAGTTGGAATGCCAAGGTGAGGTAGCCTGAGCCAGATGCAGCCGCAACACCCAACCAACACATGTGAGAACCAGGAAAAGAGGAGGCAGAGCTGACAGGGGAATAAGGGGAGGTTCCCTAGCTGAACAGCAACTTACACTGAGGAGCGTGAGCTAGGTAGGGGATAGACCAGACCAGGCAGGGACACAGCACCTGTGTACCTCATGTGGACCAGATTGGGCGAAAACCAGGCTGGGCTGACTATTCCCATTGGTGCAAGCTACAATCTGAGTTGGTGAGGGTTGTTGGGGCTTAGTTGTAGTATCAGCTGGCAGAAGCTGGTACAAAGGGTTAGACACGCTGAGTTGAACCACAGGGCCAACTGGAGAGGGCACAACTGGAATGGGAGCGACCTCGGAGGAAAACAGTGGGCTCCTCCCTCGTGGGTCATCACCTTCCACGGGAGGGCATGGGAACTAGGATGGGGGCTGGGGTGGCTAGACAGACACCCAACAACATCCGTTAGGGACGGTAGGAGGAGATGGTTGGATGGAAGTAGGTTGCAACACCTGTTGGCAAGTATATGAACAGAAGGGTATTTGGGACAGACTGGACTAGTATGCTATACATACTGGCAACCCAGGGTAGGGGGTGGGTCTGGTTGGGATTACAGTGGGCTGCCCTGACTGGGCTGCAACTCCTACTGGTACGTGCGAGGGACAAGTGCGTCCAGGGCGGAACCAGGCCGGACTGCAAGAGGACACGGGTGGAGACAGAACCGACCCAGCAACTGCAACCACCAGCTGATCGGGGCAATGGACTGTGCTGGGCCCTATGCTTACTAGAACACGCAGAAATCTGGACTGGGAATACCTCAAAATTTCTTCGAGGATCTCCCCAGTCAAGACACCAGACTCAGAGTCCTAACCAAGGAAAGACAGAACAAGTCAAGCAACAACCTCAGCTATCTGTTGGCAGCAAAATACTGGGCAAATGGAGACTCTAGCAGGGACTGTGTCAATCAATGGACTCTTCAACGACCACATCATGCTTGGAGTGGCGAGACTGGCAGCGACCCATGAATGGTGAACTATTGGAACCACTTGATCGAGTATCTCAGAGCATGCCCCACATCCGGGACTTAGGGTGGGTGGGAAACTGGGTGGGGCTTCTCCCTCTATATCCCCCTTTAGGCCTTGAACCTTTTTTACCCCAATTAAATTTGTAAGGATTGGGCCCGGCGCGGTGGCGCAAGTGGTTAAAGGTCCTCGCCTTGCACGCCCAGGATCCCATATGGGTGCTGGTTCTAATCCCGGCAGCCCCACTTCCCTTCCAGCTCCCTGCCT